CAGGAGGGGGGATGGGGAGAGGACGGGAGGAGGACGGGGAGAGTATGGGAGGATGATGGAGATAAGATGATAGGGGGATGGGGAGAGGACGATAGAGGAATGGAGATACAGTGACGGAAACAATTGTCAGGATGTTTTGCATTAATGAGGGTTTTTGGGCTTTCCGACCACTGTACATAAAGTTTTAATGTTTAATGGTGGTACACTTTGGGATGGGCATATAATGGATGTGTTCACAGTGCAAAAATCCATATAAGTACACTGGATCTAACTTAGTGCCAAAAGATATACAAATAGTACATCCGGACAATTGTTTCCCAAGACAAAGAGCAAACTTCCGAACATCGTTTCTAGTACCTAGTCCACCAACCCTTGGCCTTGATCACCACCCGGACCCTCCTAGGCATGTTATCTATAAGGCTAGCACAAACCTTTGCAGGGATCTTCTCGCACTCTTCCTAGACCCATCCTTTTGCATAAAGGGTGAGCCCTAGGAAAATGACGAAGGATTTGAGCGTTACAAGAGTATTGTGCACGATTTCGTATTGAATATTATCTCTAAGACTAACCATGCTGAGGTGTGGCCAAAGATGCCAGAAGTCGATTGGTCCCATCTTATGATGGATCGTCTTCGTCGTACCGTTGTAGGGTAAAATTACGAGCAGAGTGGCGAAAACTAGCGTATCTGCCGCGAAACTTAGGATAACATAGCACGGTCGACTGTGCACCCTTGCACTATTAAAATCACGGTAGGATCTGTAGGTCTGGTCACGGTGCAGCAGTCAAAGAAGTCGCGACTATTCGGAAAGAATATCCGGTTTGAGGTCTGGTGAGGAAAAGGGTCACTCCAGCGCAACACACTCATGCTCTCCATTCCATTATAAGCCATGTGTCCTATCTAGGCTTGGAATGGCTTGGAGAGCATGAGTATGTAGTACTGGAGTGACCCTCTTCCTCACCAGACCTCAACCCGGATATTCTTCCCCACCAGTCGAGGCTTCTTCGATTGCTGCACTGTGACGAGATCCGTGGATTATAATGTGATTCTACTAGTGAAAGGGTGCACAGTCGACCGTGCTATGTTACCCTAAGTTTCGCAGCGGATACGCTAGTTTTCGCCACTCTGCTCGTAATTTTACCCGACAACGGTATGACGAAGACGATCCATTATATGATGGGACCAATCGACTTCTGGCATCTTTGGCCACACCTCAGCGTGGCTAGTCTTAGAGATAACATTCAATTTGAAATCGTGCACAATACTCTTGCATACGCTCAAATCCTGCGCGATTTTCTTAGTGCTCACCCCTTTATACAAAACCGTGGGTCCAGGAAGAGTGCGAAAAGATCCCTGTAAAGGTTTGCACTAGCCTCGTACATAACATGCCTAGGAGGATGCGGGTGGTGATCAAGGCCAAGGGTCATTGGACTAGGTACTAGAAACAGTGTTCAGAAGTTTGCTCTTCGTCCTGGGAAACAATTGTCCGGATGTACTATCTGTATATCTCTTGGCGTTCAGTTAGATCCAGAATACTATTATGGATTTTAACGCTGTGAACACATCCACTATGTGCCCCTCCCAAAGTGTACCACCACAAAAAATTAAGACATTATGTACAGTGGCTGGAAAGCCCAAAAACCCTAATTAATGCAAAACATCCGGACAATTGTTTCTGTCACTGTAAGACGAGAGTGATAGGGGGAGAGGACAGAGGGGGATGGGGAGAGAACGAGAGGGGGATAGGAATAAGACGAGAGGGGTATGGGGATAGGGCGGGAGGGGGATGGGGAGAGGACGAGGGGGGGATGGGGAGAGGACGAGAGGGGGATGAGGAAAGGACAAGAGGTCAGGGGGATGAGGATGAGGATGAGGAGGATGAGGATGAGGAGAGGGAGATGAGGATGAGGAGAGGGACATGAGGATGAGGAGAGGATAGGGGTCTGCCTCTGTCTTCCAATGTCTGCACCTGTCTTCCGCTGTCTTCTGCTATCTTCCCTCCCACCACTGCAGCTAGCACTCGTGATGACCTCGTCCCCCCTGATCCCCTCTCATCTCCTCCCTCTTCTCCCCTGCCCCCCTCCCCACACAGCGCCCGCCATGCCATATCAACCCTCAACGTTTAGCTGAGGAAGGGAGGTCAGTTGCTGCTGTGCTGCTGCTGCCCTCCGCATGTGCGGATGAGGCACGGCTAAAAACGACAATGACAAATTCTGGGCATCAAAAACATTACCGAGAGGCATGGTTTAGACTGCAACAATGCCATGAACTGTTGTCTCCTCTGCAACTTGTGTGGGTTGCCTGATGCGCACAACATCACCTCTCTACTGTTTTCTTACCTCTCCATTCTTTTAAACCATTTTGCACGTATTAAAAACAATTTGTACCATACAGTCCAAAACAGGTCCCGCAGTCTCTCTAAAAAGGCAAGGTGCGGTGCATTCTTGCACCCAAATTTGGGCAAGGAGCAAATCCAGCTAAGTACCATGACAGTAGCTCCCAACGATAATGGTCAGAACCTTCCAAGATGAATACCTACCGTATGAGACCTACAGACAACCATGATAGAATATCAAGAAATGAATGGCTTTCATCAATCCTTGTGCTAACCTCCAATCCAAACTGTCCAGCCAACCATACAGCCTCAGCAAGAGGAATGTCTACAGATATCGATCAAGCATTTCTCTACCTATGAAGCCCTCTTGGAAATTGTCATGCGTTCTTTAAAAGCACACGTGGGTCTTGCTATGCACCAATGTTGAAGATAGTATAGACGACACACTGGACAACCAGAATACACTGCATACATAGTTGTACTTGTACTACAGCCTTTGCAAATAATCAAAACCGGGAGTCAAGGGAGCTTCTCCCATCATTTGGGTCCCTCCCCACTTCTCATGGGAGTTCCTTCGTTTTGTAGCACAGCTTCGGGTCAATCCAAACACATTGATAAAAAATCTGAACACATTACACACATGCATTGTACATCTTATACACACACACACAAGCACACACTACTCACACACACAAGCTCACACTACTCACACACACAAGCACGCACTACTCACACACACAAGCACGCACTACTCATACACACAAGCACGCACTACTCACACACACAAGCATACACTACTCACACACACAAGCACACACTACTCACACACTCAAGCGCACACTACTCACACACATACTCACACACATACTCACACACATCTTGCATAGACAGACATTACCACATTTTCATATAACTCAAACCGGAGCTCAAGCGGAGCTCTCCTACCCATTGAATCCCCAACTTTCTCCGGACTTCGCCATTGGTTCTGATTGGTCAAGCGTTCCACCAACAACCAACACGATTGTTAGGCCCAACTCCTGCCAACTGATTCTCCCACCACCCTCCCCCTTGACAATTCCTACAGCTTCTTGTATTAAAGCAGACAGTTTGGGTTATGGGGATTGTACGACCAAATAACAGAAACCTCCACCATAACAAGCTTGCTCACCGCATCAATCTTCGCATTCTTCTTCGCCGGATCCACCTTCTTGTCCATCTCCCCTTTCTTCGCCAGATCCACTTTCTTATCCTTTTTCCCTTTCTTCGCAAACCCGCTCCTCAGCGTAGCCACAAGCTTCTCCCAACCGTCAGCCACGCCGCCATGATTGCCTTTGGAGCTGCGCTTAGTTGGCTTGTGGACTGCTGGCAGCGGAGACGGCGGAGGGCTCCTCGGCTTGGACCGTGAGAATGAGATGGCTGACCTGTGAAACAACTTGTGATTTAGCCGAGACTACTGAGTCAAACTTGTAGGACATGCCCTGACAGCAGGGAAAAGAGGGAGGAGAAGGAGAGAGGGAGAATTGGATGCTATCCACTTAAACAGGTCCCGAATGCTGCTAGGTTTCCCGATAAGTGGATGCCATCCACCAGTGGTGGCGGGCCCCGAGAGGGGGCGGGAAGGGAGAGGGAAGGCCCACATACATGAGGCGAGAAAGGTAAGGGGCGAAAGCAAAGCTGGCAAGGTGATGGACAGAGAGATGCAAGATGGTGGAATCGGTTTCAACAGATGTGTGGATAGCATCCAATTCTCTGCTAGGTTTCCCGAATTTGGCCACTGGCAGGATGTGTGGCGTGGGTTTACCTCTCGAGAGTTGATCTCGTTGACGGCCCACTTTGCCGCGTCTATGACGTTGGGGTCGGTCATCAATTTACTGACAAAACCACCCGGAACCATGCCACCATAACCGGGCTCGTTAACAGGTTTGCGCGGAGCGTAACGTACGCCACCGCTTTCGCTTTCGAGTAAGATGCGCCTCCCCGAATGCGCCTCCACACGTGTATATATATATATATGTTTATAATATATACATATATATATGTGTGTGTAGGCTTGGTAGGTGTTCTATATTTCTGGATCTTACTGTAGAAGGTACAACACCCTTCTTGTGCCTCTCTCTCTTCTAGTCCAACTACTATCTTTTCTCTCGTCACTTTTCTCCCTAGCTAAAACCTCTCGACATTCCTAATGCTTTGATACCTAGTTAGCTCCTCCTCGCATCGCGGATTGTGTGGAGGTCAAATGTTGAATTATTTGCACCCACCGAGCTGAGTGAAAAGAATCGCATTATTGGAGTGCGAGCGACGAGCATTCCCGATCTTCTGCCAATCACGAGAAGTGATTTAAGCTGATACGGCTTATGCGAGTGATTGCGACGCCCGGCGAGAGCAATAATTCATCTTTACGAAACAGCCTCCATTCTTATTCGTTCGTGCCCCGTATGAGTCAAACCTGTGGGATAGTGTGACGCGTCATGAAAATGATTTGACCCCCTTGGGTTTTGTTGGATGGAATTTTTTTGTGACTCGTTGCTGAAAGGAGCCTTCATCTTTTTCCATCACCAGAAGGGCTTCATTTAGTTAGCCTCTAGGCTGTGGATGATATAGTGCAATCTCTACAAGGTTTCATATTGGTATTGCTGTTGAGCCTACCTTAGTGTGTAGTGTCCATCAATACGACAGAACATTTAGAATGCATATTTACAATTACGGTGGCACTACCAACCTAACATCCCAAAATAACAGAGTCAAGTATTTTAGTTACCCAGCCGACACTGCCTCCCATCTTCGAATGCCCTGCGAAACTCCCTAAGATCACCTAGACTTATTTACCCATATTCACTTCCCTCCTGTACAACTATACAAACCGTACAACCAGTCGACGGAAAATATTGTACCTTTTGCCTTCAATAACCACCTCACCTTCCCAACCAGCATCAGATGACCCTCACAGCTACCAACCAGTCCAGCCCCTTCTCCCTGCCACCCGTAGTTTCCATCAGCCTCACATCGCCCCTTCTCACGAAATCAGGGCCCTTCATAGATGGCCTGTCTGAATCCCCTGCAGCAGTGGAAGCTCCAGTCTGCCCCTTGCCCCCAGCACCACATGCCAGCACCCTGCCATTGCTGCTCAGTGCCGGTCAATGCCTGTCAACGCCTGTCAATGCTGGTCAATGCTGGGCAATGCAGGTCAACGCCAGTCCAGCCCAAGCTACTCAGAGAATCAACCCCTTCACAAATTGAGGGGTCGGTGTATCGCCTACAGTGGGGGGGGAACCCAGCTGCCCCTTACTCCCAGCCCCACATGCCAGCACCCTGCCATCGCTGGTCAATGCCAGCATGTGTGCGTCCCAGTGGCCGGCATTCGACGTACTTATCTGCACCACCCTGCCTCCCATGCTGTCACTACCGCTGCCTAGTCCGCTACCAGCACCATTGCTGCTGCTCCCACCAAGGTTATTCTTGAGGTCTCTGCTGTGGCTGCTGGTGCTGCTTCCTGTGCTGCTGCTGCTCCAACCACTCAAGTTCCCAGCCAGCGCATTCCCACTGCTGCTGCTGCTGCTGCTGCTATAGCCGCTGTTGCCAGGGTCACTGGTAACTACAGGGCGGAACAACGTTACAGGATTGACGTCATCAGCAGCAGTACTAGCAGTAGCACCAGCAGCGGTTGTAGCGCCAACAGTTGCCACACCGGCAGCAGCAATGGCTGTGGCAGGCGCTACAGTAGTAGTCATGTTATTAAAGGCAGTAGTAGCAGAGGCAACATTCCCTGTGGCGTTTTCTCCGCTCCCATCGGCAACATCTAGTACATCCTCCCAGCTGAATAACCCTCTCAAGCCACCCCAGGCACCTGCTGCACCCGGCACACTCGCTGGCTCCCGGCCTAGCGGGGTGGAGGCAGAGACAATGGCCGAAGGAGGGTGGGCAGCAGCAGTTGCAGGAAGAGGGTGGGTAGTCGAAGCGAGAGCAGCAGCAGGAGCAGAAGGAGAAGCAGCAGCAGCAGGGGCTGGAGGGCTGGCAGCTCTTTCTTCCAGCAGGGAGGCTCGCCTCGGGTGCATGACATCTCGACTGCGCCGCCGGTGCTGCCGCAACTGAGGGGAGCAGGTGGGAGGGAGAGAGGGGGGGGGGAGCGGGGTTCGGGCAAAGAGGGTTGTGAGGGGAAAAGGGATGCCTCGCTCAGGTGCATCGCACCTCGACTGCACTGCCCGTGCTGCTGCAGCTGCTGAGGGAGTGAGGGGGAATGAGGGGGGTGTGGGGGGAATGGGGGGTTGTGGGGGGAATGAGGGAGTGTGGGGGGAATGGGGGGGTGTGGGGGGAATGAGGGAGTGTGGGGGGAATGGCGGAATGGCTGGACATGGGGGGAGGGGGAAATGAGTGGTGGTGGGAGAGGAAGGAAAGAGTTGGCGTGGAGGAATGGCGGAGCGTGGGGCGTGGGGAGGACATTGTGCAAGACTCGCCTCGGGTGTATCAGATCTCGACGGCGCCGTTGGTGCTTGAACAGCTGGGAAAACCCATCCTATGGTACCCCATCCTATGGTACCCCATCCTATGGTACCCCATCCTATGGTACCCCATCCTATGGTACCCCATCCTATGGTACCCCATCCTATGGTACCCCATCCTATGGTACCCCATCCTATGGTACCCCATCCTATGGTACCCCATCCTATGGTACCCCATCCTATGGTACCCCATCCTATGGTACCCCATCCTATGGTACCCCATCCTATGGTACCCCATCCTATGGTACCCCATCCTATGGTACCCCATCCTATGGTACCCCATCCTATGGTACCCCATCCTATGGTACCCCATCCTATGGTACCCCATCCTATTGATACAGGGGGTGACCCCACCCCCCCAGTAATGATTGGTCAGCTCATCTATGGTAAACCTTCGGTTGACCCCGCTTCTCTCCAGCATATGCATAGCACTTGTTATGTCATAAGCTAATGCTTTTTAGCTCTCCAGCAAAAATCTCTCAGTCCTAAATCTTCCACACCTCCCCTCCTTATGTAAACCATACTGACCCTTAACCAGAAACCCCCGAGTTCACCCCGAGTAAACCCTGAGTTAAGCCTGAGTTCACACTCACCACTATATCATGCAGGTCAGCATACTCCATCTCCTCCTCTTCCTCCTCCTCCCTCTCCCACCCGCCCCCATGCCCCAAACACGCACTCTCCGCACTCCCAAAGGACCACACCTCCCCTCCCTCCCCCACCACAAACGTCGTGTAATCCCCTGCTGACACGTGGCACGCCTTAACTGCTGCACACAGCTTGCCACGACCACCACCCTCACCACCACCACTTCCCTTCCTTCCACCACTCAATCCCCCACCATCACCGTTCCCAACTCCTTCCCCTCTTCCCCCCGCCTCCTGACCCCTCTCACCCTCCTCCTCCCCACTCTTACACAGGCTCTCCACCACCCTAGGAAGGGTCTCACACTGCTCCCCCCCGTGCCCCAGGCACCCGTGCCGCCCCCACCCCCACGTGGCGACTCTACCGTCAGCAGCAACGGCAGCGGCGTGCCAAGCACCCGCAGCAACGGCTGTAGGAGCGAAGCCTAGGGTTTTGAAGTGGGTAATCTCTTTCGGGCGGCGCTCATCGGTCTTTGTGCCGTGGCCCAGCTTGCCGCCCAAGCCACAGCCGATCGACCAGACAGACCTGAAGGGGAGGGGAACAGAGAGGAAAGAGAGAGGGGAGAGAGAGGGTATAGCTTGCACGCCGAGTTTGTAATGCTTGTTTGTACTATAGTTTGCAATACAAGGGACTGCTTGAGGGTAGAACCATCCGCAGCGGCAGCAGGGGGGCCAAGCGCCCGCTGCCCCCCAGGGATCTGCACCATTCAGTGAGATTATGAGTCGCACTGAGTAGCGGCTGTGGCCCCATCCCACTTGTTATTTACCACCAAAACCCTCACCTGCCATATGGCTCCTTAGCACATGTCAGTCCCAGCAAGTAGCAGCAGCGCCCCCCTACGATCTGTACCACGCAGTGCCACAGTCTGCACTGTAAGCCTCTACCTCTCCTGCTGTAACCCATCGCACCCTGTAACCCATGGCACCCTGTAACCCATGGCACCCTGTAACCCATGGCACCCTGTAACCATAGTCTCACCTGCCATGGCGCTCGCTAGCACAGGTGAGCCCCAGCAGGTAGCAGTGCCCCCCTGCGATCTGCACCACTGGCAAAGTCACTACCCCACCCTGCTCTTCCTCTTCCTCTTCCTCCCTCTCCCTTCCCCCCTTCCCCTCCTCCCCCTCCCAATCCCCCACACGCACTTCACCATCCCTCCAGCTGCTACAGCCACCACCACAAGCAGACTGATCAGCTCCTGGGGAGTCTACAACGCTGCCCGCTGGAACACCCCCACCTCGATCCCTTGTATCGCTGCACTCTGTGAAGGCAGCACCGACAGTGCGCCCTCGTTTCCCTTCCTTGACACGTCCACGCCTCCCATTCCTTGACCCAAGCCCCAGCACGGAGCTCATCCCAGGCCCGGCGAGCTGCCGAGGCACGTCGTCCGTAGGGTCGGTGGCGTGCCCGAGCCTCTCGCCTCGGAACTCACGGGTCCCTGCAGTGGCGCTGGTTAGGGTACGCGCAGGGGCACCATCGCCATCAGTAACACTGGAAGCAGCAGCAGCAGAAGCAGCAGCGGCAGTAGCAGCGGCGGCAGCGAGTGCAGAGCTCCTGCCATCCCTCCTGCCGCCCCACGAGAGAGTGAAGACCCGGCCGTCAGCTGAGAGCACAGCTGTGAAGAAATTGCCAAGGGCGACCTGGAAGGAAAGAGAGGGCGTAACGATAAAATTGGGAAGGCAGGGAATCTGGTGGGATGGAAGGGACAAGGGCCAGCTGCCCACCCCAAGAGAGAGTGAATAGTCGCCCATCGGTTGACAACACTTCTGTGACGAAATTCCCAATGTTGATCTGGAAGGGACGGAAGCACAGGGGTTGGGAGAAAGGGTTGCAAATGAGGCACGGGCCATGTATAGGTAATGGAGAGAGGATGTACTGCGGATGTATAGGTAATGGGGAGAGGATGTACTGCGGATGTATAGGTAATGGAGAGAGGATGTACTGCGGATGTATAGGTAATGGAGAGAGGATGTACTGCGGATGTATAGGTAATGGAGAGAGGATGTACTGCGGATGTATAGGTAATGGAGAGAGGATGTACTGCGGATGTATAGGTAATGGAGAGAGGATGTACTGCGGATGTATAGGTAATGGAGAGAGGATGTACTGCGGATGTATAGGTAATGGAGAGAGGATGTACTGCGGATGTATAGGTAATGGAGAGAGGATGTACTGCGGATGTATAGGTAATGGAGAGAGGATGTACTGCGGATGTATAGGTAATGGAGAGAGGATGTACTGCGGATGTATAGGTAATGGAGAGAGGATGTACTGCGGATGTATAGGTAATGGAGAGAGGATGTACTGCGGATGTATAGGTAATGGAGAGAGGATGTACTGCGGATGTATAGGTAATGGAGAGAGGATGTACTGCGGATGTATAGGTAATGGAGAGAGGATGTACTGCGGATGTATAGGTAATGGAGAGAGGATGTACTGCGGATGTATAGGTAATGGGGAGAGGATGTACTGCGGATGTATAGGTAATGGAGAGAGGATGTACTGCGGATGTATAGGTAATGGAGAGAGGATGGGTGATGCCAACATCACTTGTGCGCTCCTTATTTAGCGCACAAGAATGACCAACCATGGGACCAACCATGGTACCAACCATGGTACCAACCTGCACGACAGACTTTTGAGTCGACTCAAGACAAGAAAGACCATCTCGTCTCGTTCACTCGCACAAGAATGACCAACCATGGTACCGATGGGCGACTATTCACTCTCAACCTGCACGACAGACTTTTGAGTCGACTCAAAAGTCATCTCGTTCACTCGCACAAGAATGACCAACCATGGTACCAACCTGTACGACAGGGATGTGCTGGAGCGACTCCACGAGCCGAGGCTCGGTGACAGGCTCGGGGGAAGTGATGGAGTACTCCTGGTCGCCGAAGCAGTCCCTCCCGAAGCGGTACACCAAGCCTGTGTCCGTGACTAGCATGGTGCGCGCCCTGCCAGCCGCTGCCTGCACCACCCGCACCCCTAGCAGCGACCTGAGTGTTGATAGGAGGGGCGGACAAGGGGGCATGGAGCGAGGAGGCACGCTTGGGTGCCAGTAATTGAGTGCCTGCGGAAGTACCTCCCGTGCCCGGACCACAGTTAAAGCAGGAACCTGAATATGATAGAAGTGGGGGGGACGAAGGAATACAGAGTGGAAAGTATTACTCGTGTCTGTGACTAGCTCTGTGCGTGCCCAAAACCACCCGCGCTTCAAGCAAAGTCCTGATGAGTTGCCCTCTTGCAGATCTCCTTTTTTTCTTTCTTTCTTCTCGAAACAGGAATGAGGACTGCTTGCTTGGTGTGACTGTATTTAGTGTGCATGTAGGGCGTGATGATTGCGGCATCGACCGGTCACCCGTTCGCAGATTCGATGCCTCAATCACCACGCCATACATGCACACTAAATACAGTCACACCAAGCAAGAAGTCCCAATTTACAAGCAGAAAAAACGCCGTTCCTGCCTCGTCCTCGCCTTGTCGCTGCTCCACCATGCCCACCCTGCCACGTCACCCCCCGCCACGTGGTGCCGCCACTCTCCAGCCCCTCCGCATCAACCAGCTGGCCCCCGCCCGTCCCTGCTCGCGTGTCGCGACAAAGCAAGACAGCAGCCGAACACACAACTGTGTGCCAGCATACTCATGCTCTTGCTTGCTTGAACAATAGCACCACGCGCGTGCCCACATCCAACCCCCATAAGGCCAATCTTCGGAGGAGCCCCGGGGCCGGCATGATGAAGATATTTAGAGCTAAAAGTGACGGAGATATGTTTTGAGGCGCCTCAAAACTGAAAGTGGCAGAGATATACTGAAGCCTTTGAGAATTCTCTACACCCTAACACAGTTGAGCATGCATGCCAGCGCTGCAGCCCTGATAGCTCCTTAACGGGTTGAACCGCGGGGGCATGAAACGGGCAAGTGTGTGGCGCTACTCTGTAGACGAACGAGAACACACAACTGATGCAATCTCGAGATGCGAGTGCATGACACGCTGTCACATGGCATGACACGCTGTCACATGGCATGACACGTTGTCACATGGCATGACACGCTGTCACATGGCATGACACGCTGTCACATGGCATGACACGCTGTCACATGGCATGACACGCTGTCACATGGCATGACACGCTGTCACATGGCATGACACGCTGTCACATGGCATGACACGCTGTCACATGGCATGACACGCTGTCACATGGCATGACACGCTGTCACATGCCATGACACGCTGTCACATGCCATGACACGCTGTCACATGCCATGACACGCTGTCACATGGCATGACACGCTGTCACATGGCATGACACGCTGTCACATGGCATGACACGCTGTCACATGGCATGACACGCTGTCACATGGCATGACACGCTGTCACATGGCATGACACGCCGTCACATGGCATGACACGCCGTCACATGGCATGACACGCTGTCACATGGCATGACACGCTGTCACATGGCATGACACGCTGTCACATGGCATGACACGCTGTCACATGGCATGACACGCTGTCACATGGCATGACACGCTGTCACATGCCATGACACGCTGTCACATGCCATGACACGCTGTCACATGCCATGACACGCTGTCACATGGCATGACACGCTGTCACATGGCATGACACGCTGTCACATGCCATGACACGCTGTCACATGCCATGACACGCTGTCACATGCCATGACACGCTGTCACATGGCATGACACGCTGTCACATGGCATGACACGCTGTCACATGGCATGACACGCTGTCACATGGCATGACACGCTGTCACATGGCATGACACGCTGTCACATGGCATGACACGCCGTCACATGGCATGACACGCCGTCACATGGCATGACACGCTGTCACATGGCATGACACGCTGTCACATGGCATGACACGCTGTCACATGGCATGACACGCTGTCACATGCCATGACACGCTGTCACATGCCATGACACGCTGTCACATGCCATGACACGCTGTCACATGCCATGACACGCTGTCACATGCCATGACACGCTGTCACATGCCATGACACGCTGTCACATGGCATGACACGCTGTCACATGCCATGAAACGGTGTCTCAGGCTGGCACCAAAAGTGAGTCGTACTGTAGCGTGTTACATCTGACGGGTTCACACATCTCTTATGTTACACGGTCGTCACGATTTACTCCCATTCCCCATAACTAAACCCCATACCTCATCAAACCATGTAATGCAATGAGAAGCCCTCACCTCACAATCTGAGGCTTCCAGGAAGGTTCCGCTGACGCATCGCCGCTCACCACAGACCTCCCTTCAAGCCCGCTCCTTATAGTCAGAGCCACAGCGCCTGTCGCAGTGGCTGTTATAGCGGTAGTCACATCGTTTGTAAGACCGGCAGCAGCAGCAGCAGCAGCAGCTGCAGCAGCAGCAGCAGTGCCACCAGCAGCAGTGCCAGCAGCAGCAGTGCCAGCAGCAGCCACGTGTCTCCCCAGCTGCCCTGCAGACCCATGGCCGAACGTCCACACCTCTCCCCTGCGCCCCACCACCACGCTGTGCGCACATCCCGCTGCCAGCTGCGGCTGACCGTGCCTGGCAATGGGGGGAGAAGCAAGGTGAAAAAACACTCTGAACGTCCACAATCTCTCCTGCGCCGCAACCGCACACCGTACGCAACACCACAGTGTGCGCAACTCCACACTGTGCGCAACGCCACACTGTGCCCTGTTACTTGACGCCCTGTTACTTGACGCCCTGTTACTTGACGCCCTGTTACTTGACGCCCTGTTACTTGACGCCCTGTTACTTGACGCCCTGTTACTTGACGCCCTGTTACTTGACGCCCGGTTACTTGACGCCCTGTTACTTGACGCCCGGTTACTTGACGTTACCCTGGTGCCCTGTACCTGACGTTACCCTGTTGCCATTTTACCATATTACCATGTTACCATGTTACCTGATGCACGCGTCGCTGGTGATGAGGAAGCGCAGCAGAAGCTTCCACGACCGCCCGCAGCGCGCCCACAGCAGGCGCTGCTGCGCGCGGGGGAGCATGGAGAAGCGCAGGACGCGCAGGCACCTGTCGTGCGCCGCCACCTCCGCTATTGACAGGCGCGGGTGCGGGGTAAGATGCGCAGGGCGGCGGAAGAAAGTGCACACGGTCTGCGGGGGGAGTGGAGGGGGAGACAGGCCGTGACGGGACACAGTTTGGAAGCGCAAGAAGCGCTGTCGTGCGCCGTGCGCCGCCTCCGCCAACGAGAGGCGAAGGTCTGGGCGAGATGTGCGGGACGGCGAACGAGCTTGCAGACGGTCCGCGCCGGGTTCGGGTTGGGAGAGACCGTGTGTACGTAACTTTGTTCGAGACGTCTCCAAACGAAATTGCTAACTTCGCCAACGAGAGACGAAATTGCTAACTTCACAAACGATGTGACAACGGGCGGGACGGCGGAAGAGCTTGCAGACGGCCTGTGGGGGGATCGGCTTGGGAGAGACGCGGCATCGAACAGAGCACACGCGTGCGGCAGGTGTTTGGAGCGCGGGACCTGCTGGCACATACCGTGGAGTTTCTACCAATAAAGGCCGCGCGCTTCGGGTGGGGAGACATCCGCAGGCCGTTACGTGCGGAAACCAGAACATCGCGTGACACGGGGCGGCGGACATTTGAAAGCGCAGCATCTGCTGGCGCCCGTCGTGCGCCGCCGGTACCGGTACTGAGCCGATAAGAGGCGCGCGCCGAGAAGAGTCTATTTTTGAGGCGCCTCAAAAATAGGCCCGTCGTGCGCCGCCGGTACCGGCCGCGGTACTGAGCCGATAAAGAGGCGCGCGCCGAGACCATGATGCGATTTATTACCTCTAGGCGCGCGACATCCTCGGCGGAAAGGCTGACGTCAGACAGAATCCGAAGCAGCACGCTCGAGTTGACCGCCAGCAATGGCTCCTCCGTCTCCCTCCACTGACGCGACGCAGCTGGTTCACTTAACGCGGCGCAAATCCCGCTGCTAATCCCGAACGCGGTGCCTGCGGCATCAATCTTCCGGAGTTTGTTAGTATCGAGCGGTGCTACGGTGAGTTCCGGCGCATCTGTAGCACGGACGGTTGCGGCAACGGTTGTAGCGTTGAGGATTGTAGTAGTGACAGCGGACGCTGACGGCACGGTCATGAGCGCCATTAGCTCCCTCTGCCCACCGCCGCTCGAGTCGGGGGAAAGGCTCGAGATGGTGAGCGGGGGAATGAGACCGTCGGAGATCATCGCGTCGCTGCTGCACGTGGCGCCAATCATGGTTGCTTCGATTTGACAAGCGGATTCTCACTACAAACGGTTGGGATTTCGGGCGGGGGCGAAAGCGCGCGCGATTCTGGCGCTGGGGATTCCTAAGACCGGGAAAACGTTTCAAAGATTTCAAAACTGTTGTCTGAGGACAGCAAAAGCACGAGCCCCGTCGGAGAACGCGTCTTTGCTGCTCTCTAAAAGGGCGCGTTCTTCTAGCGGGAGCTCGAATTTGCCCCCCGGAGGAACCGTGCGAGCTAGAACTCGCTAGAGATTTTATAACGGCGGATGGGGAGAATGGAATGGCGGAGAGGGAGAAGGTCCTGAAACGCTGTGAGCACCATTACAAGGTGAGCGAAGGCGAGGGTTTCAAGACGAGCATGGGAAGGAAGGAGGGAGGGGATGCTGAAATCGCTCCAGAAGAGCATGGCAAGGCTAGTTGGGTGCTGGATGGAAGAAGGAAGCAAGGTGATCGAGGGGTGAGCCCAAAAGCCAGAACGCGAATGCGGGCAAAATCCCAATTGGGGCGAATGTGTTGTGTTGGTTTGCATTCGTTCGCTCTGCCTTACCAAGGATGCGCGGCTTGGATGGAATCCTGAATGGCATGTGGGAGGTGAGGACTTGGCTTGGAAGCTTGGCTCGGGCGCCAAGCCTTTGTTGATGCATGATGATGCAGGTCCGGCTTGACTGCGATTGGTTGGAGTATTTTGTGGGCGGTTGCTTGCTGGGCTCTTTCGGAAGAGTTCGGAGAGAAACCCTGTCTAGCAGGTGTACTAGGGAAGGCTCCGCAGGTACAGTTCGAAGGTTTCGTTTCTGTACAACCTCCTTTGTGTTTTGCTGGATCTCTAAAAATTTCTTCTTATTCCGCCATACATATGGTGAAACCCCTGATCGCAAATGACAAGCTCCTTGCTAGTTTGTGTTCCAAACTTCTCCCAGCTGGTTTTATTCTACAACGCACACATCTAAGCTGGGGGCTTTGCCTCACCTCACAGAATCAGGATGCTTTGTGATTGGCTGTGATGAGGCCTGGTCGAGCCTGGAGCAAACTGCTCTGGTTCGGTTGTATGGCTGATTGGTACGGGTGATGCTTGATGGGTGATGGAGGGGAATGTAATGGGACAACCCGAAGGCGTCTCGAACGAGATTGGATGAATTCTGCGCTCCGCTTCCTTCTGTTGGTTGAGATTCGAGCATAACGCCGATTGGCTCTTCCCATTCTCCTTGATTCTAATTGGGTCCCCGTTAGACGTCTTTGACGGCTAGATCGCTGCGAGTTATTGGATATCGACGGTCTGCATGGTTTCCACTGCTGGCATCCGAAGGCAGTATTCCGTAGCTTTCGTGGCTCAGAAGTAAAATGAGGTGGCAACTACTCCGGGGGACTCCAGCTCAGCTTTCATCCACAACAGTTGAATCACCAACAAGTCCCTCGCTAGCACACTGCCATTCGACAATGGGGATGGTCAGGTCAAACAAACAGATGGTCAGTGGTCACCCATTACATCCATCCATCCATACCGCAACTCCCTACATGCTTGTCTACAGTTGTAACAACCATGGCTCAGTTTATAGCGAGTACGATCCAGGGAGGAGAGTAGTACAGTGTAGGGATTCCTCACCCTGGGAATTCACCCACCTCCCTTGAGATACGCCCCTAGGCATCCACATCGACACAGTCGTGCAGTGCGTCGGCCCAATCAGGAGCCCTGCTTATCGTGAGTGCGCAGTAATGGCCGAACATGAGTAGTACATGAGGCGCGGTCCGACTTGCACGCGACGCGAGTGAGCGAGGGAGACTGGTCCCACGGTGGTGTATGACTTCCCGGATCAGTACCCGCAAGAATTCCCGCGCCAGACGCATCGTGCGCATATCTGCGTGCGGTAACCTGCATATGTCGCACTAGTTACAGCACCACTGCCTTTGTAATCCTCTGAACCATTCCCATCGCGCCTTCACCACGGGGGATGGACTGCCTGATCAGATCCGCCAGGCGAGGCGGGCGAACTCGTTTTCAAGCTTTGTCTTCTCTCGTCCACTCGTATTATTCCACGTGGCATCATCGGATCCATCCAGTCCTGGGATCACAAGAGGGGGAGCGAGGATTTCCTTCTCCTCCTGCAGCAGCAGCAGCAGCAGGAGCAGGATCATCCCGCGGTCTATTGCTCCGAGGTCTCGCATCGTCAAGTCCGACAAGAATTGCAAGCCACGCTGCCGTCCACGCTGCCGCGCTGGCACGCGACTCTTCTCGAGCCATCCTCGCTTATGAGGAGCTCGTTATAGGGCCGACCGGTTCATCCGTTGATTTCAAGAGCACCACCACCAATGGGACCGCGACAGCTGTCATCGTCCACGGCCTGCTGGGCTCCGGCCGCAACTGGCGCGGCCCCGCGAAGCTTCTCGGAAAGCGGCTGGTTACTGCCAGCACTTCTAGCAGCTCAGCTGACCAGTCAGCAAGTGGGCTTTCTTGGCGTTTTCTGCTGGTGGATCTGCGTCACCACGCGCAGTCTGCCGCGCGGCAGTTCCCTCAGCCTGATGACATGAGCCACGCCGCTGCTGACCTGGCGCGCCTGGTTGCTGACGTGGCAGGCGGCAGAGCTGACGTGGTGATTGGTCACTCCATGGGCGGGAAGATTGCGCTGGAGTATGTGAGGAGAGCTGGTGCGGGGGAACTGCCAGTGATGCTGCCTCAACAGGTGGGGATGATTGGAGGAGGGGGGGGGTGATGGGAGACATTGGGTGTAAGGCGAGGGACGGAGAGATGGGGAGTGCATTTTGTCTTGTAGCGCCAGAGGAGTCTTTTGAGTCGACTCAGGAGTGCATTTTGTCTTGTAGCGCCAGAGGAAAGGGGTGGAGTGGAGGGAGACGAAGAAGGAATCGCGGTGAATCTGCCTGTGATGCTGCCGCAGCAGGTAAGATGGAAGATAAACAGAGGCGACTCAACCATGGCAGAGTTTACATTCCCTTGCCCTGCCATCCACCTGTTGTGTCCCTTGTGTCTCCCTCCCCCCTCTCACAGCTGTGTGTGTTGGTAGATGACTCAGTGCGGGGCCGCGTATCAGAGTGCACGTTGTGGGGGAGCATGGGACAAAACTCTCATGCCCACGTTCTCGTCCAACGTCTTCCCCTGTCCTGTGCTCCCGCTCTCACCTGTGGTGCCTGGCCACTCTCAGCTGGACTAGGTGCCTGGCCGCGAGGCTGACTGCACGTTGGGGAGGGATACCAAGAGTTCACCGTTGGCATATCGTGGTTTCATATAACAGCTGGCCGTGCCTCGCCTCGTGTTCCCTCTCATCAGCTGTGGGTGCTACATATCAGAGTGCACGCTGGTGCGGATGGCACGGAATATCTGGCGCTCCTTTCTTTTCGCCAGCAGGGCTTCCCCTCACAGCTTCCCTGTAGCTTGTTTTCTCTCAGCCTGGGTGCTGGACTCAGTGCGGGGCCGCACAGCAGAGTGCACGCCAGCGGTGGGGAGGATGGCAAAGTCACCACCGTGCCCGCTTTTGAGTCGACTCCAAAGCAGCGATGGGGAGGATGGCAGAGTAATCACCATGCCCGCGGTTTCATGTACCCCAATCGCGGTTTCCTCCCCTGACGCCTTACTGCCATGGGCCCATGGCCCTGCCCCTTGTTGCTTCTCCAGCTCTGGGTGTTGGACTCGGTGCCGGGCCGCATATCAGAGTGCACGCTGGGGGAGGATGCCGAGAGGAGAGACGTTGAGAGAGTGATTGCCACCCTGCAGGAACTGCCTCGCCCCATCCCATCCAAACGGTACCACCTCATCTCAGTACGGTACCACCTCATCTCAGTACGGTACCACCTCATCTCAGTACGGTACCACCTCATCTCAGTACGGTACCACCTCATCTCAGTACGGTACCACCTCATCTCAGTACGGTACCACCTCATCTCATCTCAGTACGGTACCACCTCATCTCAGTACGGTACCACCTCATCTCAGTACGGTACCACCTCATCTCAGTACGGTACCACCTCATCTCAGTACGGTACCACCTCATCTCAGTACGGTACCACCTCATCTCAGTACGGTACCACCTCATCTCAGTACGGTACCACCTCATCTCAGTACGGTACCACCTCATCTCAGTACGGTACCACCTCATCTCAGTACGGTACCACCTCATCTCAGTACGGTACCACCTCATCTCAGTACGGTACCACCTCATCTCAGTACGGTACCACCTCATCTCAGTACGGTACCACCTCATCTCAGTACGGTACCACCTCATCTCAGTACGGTACCATTCCTCAAATGCTGCCAGCTTGCTCCACCCCCTCCCATTCCCGCCCCACCCATTCCCATTCCCATTCCCATTCCCATTCCCATTCCCATTCCCATTCCCATTCCCATTCCCATTCCCATTCCCATCTAAACGGTAACTTGTTTTGCTCCGCTTTGAGCCGATTGGTTCAGGTTTATCTCGATTTAGGGCTCAATCTGTGTCGCTCCATTCCGTCCAACCGGTCTTGTTCTATTGATACGGATCTCAAAAACAGAACACGTACCAGTCTATATCTAGGCATTGCATGCAACATGCCACGTGCCTCTACACACACACCGAATCTCAGGTGGCTCCTGGAGGAGCTGACTCAGCGCCGAGGCTTCACTTCAGGCTTGGCAGAGTGGCTTGCGACGAGCCTCAGGCCTGTAGCTGGTTCGGGTGGTCCAGGTAGCCCGGGCGCTGCTGGTGCCTCTGCGAACGGGGAGATGGAGTGGGTGTTCAACCTTGATGGGGCCGTGTCGCTCTACAACAGCTACAGGTGACTATGGTGGGACCGTGGGAGGGAGAGGGTGTGGGGAAGGGAGGGAGGGATGGAGGGAGAGAGGTGGGGGGGAGGGAGGGAAGGTGCTCCAAGGACTTCTGGGAGAGGGGAGATGGAGTGGGTGTTCGATGTTCATGGGAAAGTGCAGTGTGACAACTTTTGAGGCGCCTCAAAAAACATTGTCACGAGATGGCTTTTGAGTCGACTCAAATGTGGCTTCAAGGACTGGATGGGAGAGGGGAGATGGAGTGGGTGGTTCAGCAGTCCCTTCAAGATGGAGTGGGTGTTCGAACTTGATGGGGCCGTCTCTCTCTGCAACGGTTACAGGCGAATAAGGGCTTTCAATTTTCAGCTTATTCTTGCGAAGAGGTTCATGTGGGCATGTGTGGGTGTGTGTGCGCGTGTGCCCATAAGTGTCAGTGTGTGTGTGCATGCTTGTGAGAGGCCGGGCTAGAGAGATGGGGTGAGGCACAGGAGGGAGCGAGGGTGGTCAAATCGAAATGGAGGGAGGGGAAGAGGAATAGCCAGATAGCAACGCAAATAGTATCTCGAAAGAAGTTCCTCCCCCCCTCATAATTCCCCTCCTTTCTGAATCATATCGTGTCTCATGGCCCGCCATTGCATTGCACAACATTTAATTGCATGGCGTGGTGTCGCATGGCATGGCATGGCGTCGCATGGCATGGCATGAAATGGCATGGCATGTTGTGACAGGCAAACGGATCTGCTACCCTTTGTGAGGAATATGTGTGGTCGGCCACATGAGGAGGAGCAACTCCCTTTACAAGCACCTCCACTAGAGTCACATATTTCACAGTCAAATGGGCTCAAGCAAGGGGCGGTTCCTGCGGAGATCCATACAGGTCCCAAATTTGGAAGGCGGGGAACGGTTGAGGGGGTTAAGTGGGGATTGGTGAAGCAGCCATGGCACCAGCCCATGCAGACACAGGAGCGGCAGCAACAACAAGGGCAACAACAGGCGGTAGGAGAATGTGTGGGTAAGCAGTTGAGGCGCGGTTGCACGCAGGTGCATTTTGTGAAAGGGGAGAGGAGCGGAGTGTGGAAGTCCAAGTGCCTTGCTGACCTGGAGGCGGCTGTTGTTGAGTCAGCCAAGTGCCAAGGAGACAGGGCCGATTCGGTGAACATCCAGAGCAAACGGGGCGAAAAAGAAGGTTGCAGAGCGTATATGCATGTTTTGAAGGGAGCTGGGCATTGGGTGCACGTGGACAATCCAATGGGCCTTGTGGATCTGATGGGAAAACACATGAGAGAGGTTGTGGTCTAGAAATGTTTGCAGTGGCAACAATTTGAGGAAATGTGTAACATTGTTTTTTTTGTGAAGAATGCACCTTTCGCTCCGTTACTCATCTATTGCCAAACTGAATACGCGTTAGTAGGCTTTGGTGCTGCCCCTTCCCGCTTCCCCCCTCGCGACTCCCGCTTCCCCCGCTTCCCCCGTCTCCCCCAATTTCTCCCCCATTCCCCCCATTCCCCCCAATTCCCCCCATTCCCCCCTATTCCACCCCCCGAACGGACCCCCTTCCCCCTACCCTGGCAAGCACCCCCATAACCAAGACAGTCACAGCCGCACAGTCACAGCCACTTACCCCGCGTCCCCGCAGCCTCGCGCTCCCCGCAACTTCCGCCCAGCCACCTCGCCGCTTTTCCCGCTCGCCTTCCTAACGCCCGGCATCTCATCGAGCCGACGATCTCGATCTCACGCTCCTTCCGTGTTTCCAGCAGCGCGATCTCCCCGTTCCCCGCGTCGACATGGCGTGTCCCGGCGCCCGCCGCGAGGGTCTGAGGCTCCTGCGATCGATCTGCGACGTCGGCGTCGTCGCCGCGTCGCGCGCTCCCGCGACTCACGGCGCGGCTGCCGCGATGTCGATGGCGCAGCAGGTGGTGGGCGGGTGAGTCGCTCCTCTCGATCAGTCAATGCGCGCAGCAGACCTAGCAAGTCAACGCGTGGCAGACCTGGCAAGTCAACGCGTGGCAGACCTGGCAAGTCAACGCGTGGCAGACCTGGCAAGTCAATGCGTGGCAGACCTGGCAAGTCAACGCGTGGCAGACCTGGCAAGTCAATGCGTGGCAGACCTGGCAAGTCAACGCGTGGCAGACCTGGCAAGTCAATGCGTGGCAGACCTGGCAAGTCAACGCGTGGCAGACCTGTCAACGCTTGGCAGACCTAGCAAGTCAACGCGTGGCAGACCTAGCAAGTCAACGCGTGGCAGAATCAGCAGATCGTTAGGAATAAAAGAATCGTTAGGATGTAAGGGAATGAGAGGATGCTTCTTTTGAAGCCGCTGCTTCCGCGATGCCGATGGCGCAGCAGGTGGTGGGCGGGCGAGTCAATCCCGCCGGTCAGTTAACGCCTGACTCAGTTAACGGTCAGTTAACGCGCAGCAGGATTAGCAGATCGTTAGGTTGCCTCCGTCCGTGAATCGCGTCGCTGATTGGCATCAGCCGATCGCATTGCCGATTCAGCAGGTGGTTTTTGAGTCGACCGAAAAGCCGTCTGACTCAGCAGGTGGTTTTTGAGTCGACTGAAAAGCCGTCTGATTCAGCAGGTGGTCGGTGTTACTTCAGCAGGTGGTCGGTGTTACTTCCTAGTGCAGTCAAGACGTTACTTAGAGCTCTTGGCAGGCCCGTCAGCAGAAGCAGCCCATCTCCATGACACTTTAGGGGTCCTTAAATCGGGACGTGACGTCACTGCCAATGACGTGACGTCACTGCCAATGACGTGACGTCGTGGGCGACATTTGACGTCACTGCCAGGGTGTGACGTCAGCGTGATGTAGTGCAAGTATTGGAAGAGACAGAGTGCCGAGTGACCGTACCTTAAAAACGCACGGATGGCGCACGGATGGCGCGGGTGCAGGTATGGCGAACGGATCTGTGCGGTCCGATTTTAAACGTCTCAAGATCCGATGTTTAGCACTCCTAGTAGGGCGCGAGTTGCGTCTGAGACCGCTGTGTTGACGATTTAGAGAGTTATCGAATGTCTTCATTTTCTTGGAAATTTCAAATATCCATGAGACCGCTGCGTTGACGATTCGTGATAACTGGGGTCTTGGTATTGGCTAGCGTCGTGAATCGTGTTGCACTAGATCAGTTCTACTGAACCGACTCAAAAGTCACCTCGTTACACTGTTACATGCTGTAGATCAGCTGTATTCGCCACTGCTTTCGCCAGCAGCGTACTCGACGGCGTTGCTCGCCAGCGAACCCCCCTCTCCTCGTGGGCGATAGTTACCCGGTTTGGCCGCATACCATCAAGTTATCTGCAGCTTATACATTCCTCGGTCGCGTTACAACGCTCCTCGTTACACGCCCTACTGAATCATCCTTTATATCTGACCTAGTCTTGCCTTGCCATGTCCCCCTTCCTTGGCCTTCTTAACCCAATCACCCCTCGCCCTTCCCTCATCCGCCCTACTTTCGACTGATCCCTCTCTTTTCGTCGTCGCCTCCTCAAACGAATCCCCCGCCCCTCTCCCTTCCCTCTCGCTCCCTCTCTGTTGTCCCCCTGTCGTTTCACCGCCGCCCTTGCTGCAGTGACATCGCTCCTGCTGGCGCGCGTTTTGCCTCGCAGCTCGCAGGTAGGCTGGTCGGTTAGGAGGGTTGGTCCGAGGTTTGGTCTGAGGTTTGGTCCGAGGTTTGGTCCGAGGTTTGGTCTGAGGGTTGGTCTGAGGGTTGGTCTGAGGGTTGGTCTGAGGGTTGGTCTGAGGGTTGGTCTGAGGTTTGGTCCGAGGTTTGGGAGTGCGAAGGGAGACACGAGTAGCGGTATCGAGGAGGGGGACGGAGTAGCGGGAAAATGAAGCATGCAAAAGGCGCTGGAACGATTGGCCGACGCGGCCTTTTGCCGTGCAGGTCGCGGGATGGGTGGTCAGAGGGGGGGGGTGACCGTGAGGGTACGAAGAAGGATTTGTGGGGGTCGGGTGGGAGGGGAAAGGGGGGGGGGAGAGGGAGGGAGCGCGGAGGTTAAGATGGCGAGGGAGGAAGGCGGATGGGGGAGAGAAGGTGATTGGGGTAAGGTAAGGAGAAAAGGGGGGGAAGGGAGAAGGGAGCTTTGAGGGTAGCCGTAGCCTTGGATTAAGGCGAATAATGGGATAAGGGGGAAGGGCGACGGTGATTTTTTAGAATTCTGAAAATTACCTACTTGGGATAGGCGGTGCTTGTATTGAGACTATTTTTGAGGCGCCTCAAACAAGCGGTGCTTGTATTGATGTAACCGTGGTGCACAGCATTCACACTTCTGGTGGGGAATGAGGCAACAGTTCTGGTGGGGAATGAGGCAACAGTTCTGGTGGGGAATGAGGCAACACTTCTGGTGGGGAATGAGGCAACAGTTCTGGTGGGGAATGAGGCAACACTTCTGGTGGGGAATGAGGCAACACTTCTGGTGGGGAATGAGGCAACACTTCTGGTGGGGAATGAGGGGGGGGGAGGGGGGATTAGGGGTCTCTGAAAGGAGGCCACCATTTTCACTGCTTCGGTAATCGCCTGATTAAATCCCCCCTCCCCCCCCCCCCCGCCCCCCTTCTCTTGCACCCCCCCACACTCAGTGCGCAACCGCATGAAGTCGATGCGCAGCGCAGCATCCAGACGATCACCAAGGCCATGAAGATGGTGGCTTATTCTCCAACCCCCTTTCCCCCCCTTTCCCTCCTCTCTCTTCGTTCACATCACACCCTGGCAGTGCGCAACCGCATGAAGTCGATGCGCAGCATCCAGACGATCACCAAGGCCATGAAGATGGTGGCTTATTCTCCAACCCCCTTTCCCCCCCTTTCCCTCCTCTCTCTTCGTTCACATCACACCCTGGCAGTGCGCAACCGCATGAAGTCGATGCGCAGCATCCAGACGATCACCAAGGCCATGAAGATGGTGGCTTATTCTCCAACCCCCTTTCCCCCCCTTTCCCTCCTCTCTCTTCGTTCACATCACACCCTGGCAGTGCGCAACCGCATGAAGTCGATGCGCAGCATCCAGACGATCACCAAGGCCATGAAGATGGTGGCTTATTCTCCAACCCCCTTTCCCCCCCTTTCCCTCCTCTCTCTTCGTTCACATCACACCCTGGCAGTGCGCAACCGCATGAAGTCGATGCGCAGCATCCAGACGATCACCAAGGCCATGAAGATGGTGGCTTATTCTCCAACCCCCTTTCCCCCCCTTTCCCTCCTCTCTCTTCGTTCACATCACACCCTGGCAGTGCGCAACCGCATGAAGTCGATGCGCAGCATCCAGACGATCACCAAGGCCATGAAGATGGTGGCTTATTCTCCAACCCCCTTTCCCCCCCTTTCCCTCCTCTCTCTTCGTTCACATCACACCCTGGCAGTGCGCAACCGCATGAAGTCGATGCGCAGCATCCAGACGATCACCAAGGCCATGAAGATGGTGGCTTATTCTCCAACCCCCTTTCCCCCCCTTTCCCTCCTCTCTCTTCGTTCACATCACACCCTGGCAGTGCGCAACCGCATGAAGTCGATGCGCAGCATCCAGACGATCACCAAGGCCATGAAGATGGTGGCTTATTCTCCAACCCCCTTTCCCCCCCTTTCCCTCCTCTCTCTTCGTTCACATCACACCCTGGCAGTGCGCAACCGCATGAAGTCGATGCGCAGCATCCAGACGATCACCAAGGCCATGAAGATGGTGGCTTATTCTCCAACCCCCTTTCCCCCCCTTTCCCTCCTCTCTCTTCGTTCACATCACACCCTGGCAGTGCGCAACCGCATGAAGTCGATGCGCAGCATCCAGACGATCACCAAGGCCATGAAGATGGTGGCTTATTCTCCAACCCCCTTTCCCCCCCTTTCCCTCCTCTCTCTTCGTTCACATCACACCCTGGCAGTGCGCAACCGCATGAAGTCGATGCGCAGCATCCAGACGATCACCAAGGCCATGAAGATGGTGGCTTATTCTCCAACCCCCTTTCCCCCCCTTTCCCTCCTCTCTCTTCGTTCACATCACACCCTGGCAGTGCGCAACCGCATGAAGTCGATGCGCAGCATCCAGACGATCACCAAGGCCATGAAGATGGTGGCTTATTCTCCAACCCCCTTTCCCCCCCTTTCCCTCCTCTCTCTTCGTTCACATCACACCCTGGCAGTGCGCAACCGCATGAAGTCGGTGCGCAGCATCCAGACGATCACCAAGGCCATGAAGATGGTGGCTTATTCTCCAACCCCCTTTCCCCCCCTTTCCCTCCTCTCTCTTCGTTCACATCACACCCTGGCAGTGCGCAACCGCATGAAGTCGGTGCGCTGCGCAGCATCCAGAAGATCACCAAGGCCATGAAGATGGTGGCTTATTCTCCAACCCCCTTTCCCCCCCTTTCCCTCCTCTCTCTTCGTTCACATCACACCCTGGCAGTGCGCAACCGCATGAAGTCGGTGCGCTGCGCAGCATCCAGAAGATCACCAAGGCCATGAAGATGGTGGCTTATTCTCCAACCCCCTTTCCCCCCTTTCCCTCCTCTCTCTTCGTTCACATCACACCCTGGCAGTGCGCAACCGCATGAAGTCGGTGCGCTGCGCAGCATCCAGAAGATCACAAAGGCCATGAAGATGGTGGCTTATTCTCCAACCCCCTTTCCCCCCCTTTCCCTCCTCTCTCTTCGTTCACATCACACCCTGGCAGTGCGCAACCGCATGAAGTCGGTGCGCTGCGCAGCATCCAGAAGATCACCAAGGCCATGAAGATGGTGGCTTATTCTCCAACCCCCTTTCCCCCCCTTTCCCTCCTCTCTCTTCGTTCACATCACACCCTGGCAGTGCGCAACCGCATGAAGTCGGTGCGCAGCATCCAGAAGATCACAAAGGCCATGAAGATGGTGGCGGCGTCCAAGCTGAGGGGCGTGCAGGGCAAGACGGAGCAGAGCCGCGGCATGTGGCAGCCGTTCACCGCGCTGCTGGGCGACAACCCCAGTGAGTACCGGGGGGGCGAAGGGTTTATTAGAGGCTGTGCTACAGGTGAGAGGCAGTGAGGCTGGAAGCTGAGGGGCGTGCAGGGCAAGACGGAGCAGAGCCGCGGCATGTGGCAGCCGTTCACCGCGCTGCTGGGCGACAACCCCAGTGAGTACCGGGGGGGCGAAGGGTTTATTAGAGGCTGTGCTACAGGTGAGAGGCAGTGAGGCTGGAAGCTGAGGGGCGTGCAGGGCAAGACGGAGCAGAGCCGCGGCATGTGGCAGCCGTTCACCGCGCTGCTGGGCGACAACTCCAGTGAGTTCTGTTCCGAGTGCTTAGTGTGCGGGTAGCCATCAGCTTCCAGCCTAGCGGTGCGCGGGGCTCGTGGGTGCATGCCATGGGTGAGGTGCGACGGGGTTTCAAGCGAAGGGGCGTGGATGGCAGGACGGAGCAGAGCCGTGGGCGCTGGCAGCCGTTTCAACTACCACTGCGTGACCTGCTCTGCTGGTGGTGACTTTCGAGACATGTCAAATCTCAAAAGTAGATCGAGGCGTCTCCAGCCTTAAACAGTCTAAAAAACTCCTACAAACAACGACAGCTGCGTGGCTCACTGATGAGCGCAGAGAGTGTCGTGGCTGGTTGTTTGCTGCTCTCTCCACTCTCTGCACTCTCTGCACTCTCTGCACTCTCTGCGCTGTGCACTCTCTTACGTGCATGGCCAGCCAGCTGCGTGGCTCACTCACGCCACTCGTTGCTACTCCCTGCACATTGTATCTTTCAAGCCCCCACTCTCTTGAACTTGCATTCTCATTCGTCCTTTCTTCCCTTCCCTTCCCTTCCTTTCCTTCCTCCTCCCTCTCCCCCCTTCTCCCTTTCCTTCCTCCTCCCTCTCCCCCTTCTCCCTTTCCTTCCTCCTCCCTCTCCCCCCTTCTCCCTTTCCTTCCTCCTCCCTCTCCCCCTTCTCCCTTTCCTTCCTCCTCCCTCTCCCCCTTCTCCCTTTCCTTCCTCCTCCCTCTCCCCCCTTCTCCCTTTCCTTCCTCCTCCCTCTCCCCCCTTCTCCCTTTCCTTCCTCCTCCCTCTCCCCCCTTCTCCCTTTCCTTCCTCCTCCCTCTCCCCCCTTCTCCCTTTCCTTCCTCCTCCCTCTCCCCCCTTCTCCCTTTCCTTCCTCCTCCCTCTCCCCCTTCTCCCTTTCCTTCCTCCTCCCTCTCCCCTCTTCTCCCTTTCCTTCCTCCTCCCTCTCCCCCTTCTCCCTTTCCTTCCTCCTCCCTCTCCCCCCCTTCTCCCTTTCCTTCCTCCTCCCTCTCCCCCCTTCTCCCTTTCCTTCCTCCTCCCTCTCCCCCCTTCTCCCTTTCCTTCCTCCTCCCTCTCCCCCCTTCTCCCTTTCCTTCCTCCTCCCTCTCCCCCCTTCTCCCTTTCCTTCCTCCTCCCTCTCCTCCCTCTCCTCCCTTCTCCCTTTCCTTCCTCCTCCCTCTCCTCCCTTTCCCCCTCGCCCCTCTCAGCCCTGCTGACCCCGCGCACGCTCGTTCTGGCAGTGTCAACGGACAGGGGGCTGTGCGGCGGCATCAACTCCACCGTGGTGAAGCACAGCAAGGCCGTGTCCGCCATCTCTGCGCCCTGTGAGTCGTTTTTATGTTGAGGTGCACAAGTCTAGTCACGTCACGCCGTATGCTGCGTGCTATGTTGTGCTATGTTGTGCTGTGTGCCGCTCTGTGCCCCTCACTGTGGAGCAGCATCAACTCGGTTGGTGTGAAGCACAGAAAGGCTGTCTTGGCTGTATCTGGGCCCTGTGAGTATCAAAAGCTCTGGACACACGGTATGCTGCGTATGTGCAAGCGGTGCGTTGTGTGTCGCTCTGTGTCTCTCGCTGTGTGGCGGCATCAACTCCACTGTTGTGAAGCACAGCAAGGCCGTCTCTGCCGTCTCTGCTCCCTGTGAGTGCCTGCCACGAGGCTGTAATCTCGAGGCGGTGTGTGCCGTGCTCTATGAAATTCTGGCTCATAATGAGCCATTCAGCCAGCCGTTGTGGCTGATATTTCCTAGTAAAAAATTCAGCCATAGTAAAGCAACGACTTGACTGTTGTTGTCTTTTGAAGATTTCTTTTGACAGATTGAGAAACGTCCCCTCCTCCTCCCTCCCCCCGTCTTGCCCGCTTTCTCCGGCCTTAACCACCCACCCACCCACCCACCCACCCACCAGCGGAGGAGAACAAGTCGGTGTTTGTGATCATGGGCGAGAAGGCCAAGCTGCAGCTGCAGCGGGACCCCCGGAATGTGATCGAGATGACCATTGCTGACACGCAGAAAGTGGGCATCAACTTCACACAGGTGAGGGGGGGTTTAGTGCTGTGCAAAATGGGTGCAGAGTGGTGCGGAATGGGTGCAGAGCGGTGCAGAGCGCGGTGCACTGTGTGCAAAGCTGCTGCGGCAGCGGGATCCCAGGAGCGCGATTGAGACGACCATTTCAGGCGCGCAGAAGCAGGGCCTCAGCTTCACGCAGGTGCGGGATTTAGTGTGGTGGAGAGCGGTGTAAAGTAGCCGTGCGCTGTGTGCAAAGCTGCAGCGGCAGCGGGACCCCAGGAATGTGAACGAGCTGACCATTGCTGATCATTTCAGACACGCAGAACGCATCAGCTTCACGCAGGGCAGGTGAGGGCGAATGAGTGGTGCAGAACGGGGTAGAGCGGTGTAGCAGTGTAGAATGGCGTGAAGTGGAGCAGAGTGTGCAACGATCCCTCACCTGGTGGGTGTAGACAAAGTGGATTGAAATGACGGTGTCGGACCCCCTCACGGAAGCAGGGGATCAACTTGAAGCAGGTGAGGAGGCGGATGCATACTGCTGCAGAGTGATGCAGAGCGGTTCTGAGAATTAGAGCAAGGCGCAGAGGAGCAGAGAGGCATGCGGGCAGAGGAATTCTTTGAATACGATTGAGATGACTGTATCAGACACACAGAAGCAGGGGATTAGCTTCACACAGGAAAGAGATTTAGAGGGATCCAGAGCGGTGCACAGCGTCCGAAGCTGCAGCAGCTGCAGGGGGATTGCTCGGATAAGGTTGAGGTGAGGTTGGAGCAGGGTCAGAGGATGAGAAGTGTCCGGTATATGGGCGCACAGGATTAGCTTCACACATGTGAGAGAAAGGTGGAATGCGGTGCAGAGCGGTGTTGAGAGATAGGACGATGTGCTGAGAAGCAGGGAGGCTCGCAAGCATGTGAGAGGTTCGAAGTGGTGCAAAGCGGTGCGTGAGGGGCTCAAAGCGGTGTTGTGATGAGATAGGGGCATTAGCAGAGTGGCAAAGGGACACGCAATGCAACCCCCCCATCACCCATCCCCGTATTCCCATCATCCCTTACCTCCCACCACACCGACGTCCATGAGTTTGAAACGTCTCAAAACCACCCACACAGACATCCATCCATCCATCCAGCATCCATGACTGTTAGTTTGTGAATGAGATTGGATGACAGATTCTGATGACCCTTAAGTTTGACGCTGCACGCATCATCCTGCAACCGCTCACTCCGTTTTGCATGCACCCACGCCCATCTCACCCATCGTCCCTTTCCCCCAGGGTATTTTTGAGAATTCTCAAAAATACCCTGCAATTTTTTTAGAATTCTCAAAAACGCCCATGATGGGGGATGCGACCCTGAAGAGCATTGAGTTGGACGCTGCATGCATCATCCTGTGGCGACCCCCTTGGTCTCTCTCATCGCCCGCCTCACCCATCCATCACCCACTCCATCACCCACTCCATCACCCACTCCATCACCCACTCCATCACCCACTCCAGCACCCACTCCAGCACCCACCCAGCACCCACCCACCACCAGACGTCCATGATAGTAAATGAGATCCTCAAGAGCATCGAGCTTGTCGCTGCTCGCATCATCACCCTCCCCTCGGTCCCCCATCCATCACCCAATGATGGCCCCACGTTTTTTTGCATCTAACCCCATCATTCCCATCACCCCCATCACCCCCCTTCCTTTCACACTTCATCCCCCCGACCCCCCCATTGCCCCCACCACTCTTATTTCACCCTTATTTCACGATTCTTGCATCGATAGAAGTGGTTGACGCGGAGATCCTCAAGAACATTGAGTTTGACGATTCTTGCATCAGTTGTTAACCCCCTTATTTCACCCCCCGACCCCCCCCCATTGCCCCCACCCCTCCCCCCCTCCCCCAGACGTCCATGATAGTGGATGAGATCCTCAAGAACGTTGAGTTTGACGCCGCTCGCATCATCTACAACCGCTTCAACTCCGTCGTCGCGTTCGTCCCTACCGTCTCCACCGTGCTCTCGCCTGAGGTGGGTGTGTTTGAGTTGTGGTGGAGTTTGCTGAGGTGTGGTGAGGTGTGGCGTGGTGTGGTGAGGAGGTGCTCTCGCCTGGGCTGCGTGGAGGCTCCTGGCCTGAGTGTTTTGCGCGCATCATCTACAACCGCTTCAACCCCGTTGTCATCTTTTTGAGTCGACTCAAAAATCACCTGAGTGTTTTGCGCGCATCATCTACAACCGCTTCAACCCCGTTGTCATCTTTTTGAGTCGACTCAAAAATCACCTGAGTGTTTTCCACGCATCATCTACAACCGCTTCAACCCCGTTGTCATCTTTTTGAGTCGACTCAAAAATCACCTGAGTGTTTTCCACGCATCATCTACAACCGCTTCAACCCCGTTGTCATCTTTTTGAGTCGACTCAAAAATCACCTGAGTGTTTTCCACGCATCATCTACAACCGCTTCAACCCCGTTGTCACCTTTGTGCCCACCGTCTCCACCGTGCTCTCACCTGAGGTATGCTGAGGCGTTGTGAGGTGTAGTGAGGCGTGTTGAGGTGTGGTGAGGTGTGGTGAGGTGTGGAGAGGCGTGGTGAGGTGTGGTGAGGTGTGGTGAGGCTCCTGAACTGTGTGTCTCTAACTTCTTCAACTCTGTTGTCACGTTTGTCCCAATCGTCTCCATCACGCTCTTGCCTGAGGCATGCTGACGTTTGCTGAGATATGCTGACGTTTGCTGAGATATGCTGAGTCGTGCTGGGGTTTGTTGAGGTGAGCCGAGATCCAGTACAGTGCGTGGCTGTGGCCACTCACCCCCCTTTCCCGCCCCTCCATTCCCCCACCAGACGCTCCTCAAGGAGGCGGCGGAGGGCGGCAGCGCCAGCCAGCTGGCGGAGTACGAGATTGAGGGCGAGGAGGGCCAGGAGGAGCTCTTCCAGAACCTCTCGGAGTTCCAGCTGGCGTCGGTGAGTCTTTTTTTCTTTCTTGCTTTCTTTCTTGCTTTCTTTCTTGCTTTCTTTCTTTCTTTCTCTTTGAGAATGTTGTAGCATGATCTACGTACCATAGTACGCATTTGAGTAGGCCTCAACAACAGCCAGGGCCAGGAGGAGCTGTTTCAGAACCTGTCGGAGTTCCAGCTGGCGTCGGCGAGTGTGTGGTATATGCTACCCTACCTTTCCTGCCAGCTGTGCACCACCCTTCCTGCCAGCTGTGCACCACCTTTTCTGCCAGCAGTGCACCACCCTTCCTGCCAGCTTTTCCTAGATTCTGGTTCGCAGGGTTCGCAGAACTGGCACAGAACAGGTGCGCCTCACTCTCTCCGTACCTATCCCAGCTCTTGCGGAGTTGACGTGCGCCAAGTAGGGGAGGGGCGCGTGTGCCTGCCGTGCGCCATCCTCTCGCCGTAAAGAGTAGCTGTGCAGTGTGCAGTTGAAAATGTGTGCAGCGAGCAGGGCGTGCGCATGTCTTCCTCGGCCAACCCACTTCCTTCCGCATTCCTTCCCCCTTATTTCCACGGTCCCACCCCCACCGTGATTCTCCTATTTCCCTCAGGCACTCGACAACGCTCAGCTGGAGAATGCGTGGGGCAGGGGGGGTGCGCATATCCCCTATGGGCAATCTCCCTTGTCCCTCTCAATCCCCTTCCTTTATTGACTTGCAGACGCTCCGTTTTTGAGAGTTTTCACTAAACAACTCGAACCTTGTCCCTCTCACTCAATCCCCTCTTTTATTGACCTGCAGACGCTGTACAACGCGCAGCTGGAGAATGCGTGCAGCGAGCAGGGCGCGCGCATGTCCGCCATGGACAACTCCTCTCGCAACGCCTCCGACATGCTCGGCCGCCTCACTCTCTCCTACAACAGGTAAGGCGCACTTAGACATGGGCAAAAAAATTCGCATCGCATCGCATTTAATTGCGTTTTTGCGATTGCGGTTTTTTTTTTTTTTTTAATCATCGCGCGATGCGATGAATTAGTTTCGCGCGATTTACTTTAAATCGCATTTTAATCGCGCTAATTTTTTAAAATCGTGCGCGATGTATCACTGAAACCCACTACAAAATCACACTAGTTATTTGCACTCTAGCTTACGACTGCCCGCGATTCAATTTCCCGGCAGCCATGAATTTTTCTGGTTTTTTGGGGTGTTTTTTAATTCTGTTTTAAAACCGCATCGCGCGATTTAGTTAAATTCCGCATGCGGTTTTAATATTCATCGCGCGCAAAACGCGATGTGCGATTTTTTTGTTCTCCAGAAATTAAATCGCGCGATGCGATTTAAAATTGCACCGCATTTAATTAAATCGCAATCGCATGCGGTATTTAACTGGTTTCCATGTCGCAATCGCATTTTGCCCATGTCTAGGCGCACTCTTGCGTACAACAGGTTCTCACAATGGATAATGTGTTGTAAGTTTTTTTGCTTCTTCAACAGGTATGTGACTCTGGCAAGACGCTAGGTTGGAAAAGCCGCCTCTTGTTTCCTGCCTCACCTGGCCACACTCCTGTTTAGCGTTTTTGCATTTAAGGTCGTGGAACATCGGCGTTCGAACAGTCACCACCCTGCACCGTACTGCACTTCACTGAAATACACAGTACCGTATTCAACCTGTTTTAAAAGTCCATTCGAACGGCCTGTTCGCAGCCGATGTTCCGCGCCATCTCCCTCCTCCTCCCGCCGCGCAACCTCCCCTTCTCCCTTGTGCAGGTCGCGCCAGGCCACCATCAGCACAGACTGTATGCATGTTTTGTCACGTGTGTTCTCGTGCTATCCCCCACCTCTTCCCTCCCCCCCTCCCCCCCCCCCTCCCTCCCTCCCTCCCCCTCTCTTGTGCAGGTCGCGCCAGGCCAGCATCACCACGGAGCTAGTCTTCCTCCTGTCTCTCTTACATCGCTTCTCCCCACCACCACCCCCTCCCCTTCTTGCTTCCTCCCCCCCCCCTTGCAGGTCGCGCCAGGCCACCATTACCACGGAGCTTATCGAAATCATTTCAGGCGCTGCTGCTCTGGAGGGCTAAGGCCATTGTAAGTCCGCCCCTAACGTTCGCCGACTTGCTTGCAATGTGAATTTTAGTCTGTCTTGGAAGTTGATTGGACTTCTAAACCACAGCACACATTTGGCCCGCTCGAATATAATGTCAACTGTGCGCCACCGTCTCCCATGCACTTCTCCCCAGGTGTTTAATGGTGCCAATTGTGGCTTTAACGTTGGTGCTTGTTGCTGCTGGAGATTGCAACTTGTAGCAGTTAGAAAACCCTTACTGTCTACTCTCAACCTGGCATAGTTGAACCCTTAGCTGAATCTGGTATTGCTGTGCTCGTGTCATCAATGGTAAATTTGGTTGTTAGTGTCCATCCATATGTTACACCTTATTAGCATATTGTAAAATTCCCACCATGATAAGCTGGTGTCTGCTTTGCAGCCATTCAGGATTGGATTCTCTAATCGGTATTATTTCTCAAATTGGAGGTCAGCTTGATATACCGCTTCAAGTAGTCACTAGCATCTGTTCCGCGCCACATTTCACAAATATCGAACTTGTCTATAGCGAGGTTTTCTAACCAACTTCTCGCTCACTTGTTGACCAGCAGTCGCCGTTAGTTTCCCATCGGCAATCCCGAGGCTGCTGCCTAAACCCGTAGCGCACCGTGCTGGCCTAGTTCCCCTACCTCCACCTATTCCGGAACACTTCTCGGTATTGCGGGTGCGTTACCATGGCAATGCGATACGCCCACAACCCGTGCTACCACTAGCGCAGCCACACTGATACCCGCCGCAATACCAGGCTTCCCGTTCTCCGCCGCGATGTGCGGCAATGGTTCGTGCTAACTTTCTCCGATACACCTAACCAGGAACGCCGGCCCGGTTCCAGCTTTCCGTATGCTCCGTTTTTCTGCCGGAAACTTCCATATTTCTGACGGAATAGGCTCTGAGAGCAGCGGGACCAGTCACCAGTGCCGCAAAACTTGAACTGACGCTGCTGGCGCCGTTGCTACTGGCGCCATTGCTGCCGGCGCCGTTGCTGCTGGCGCCGTTGCTGCTGGCGCCCTTTGCTGCTCCGCATGCCAAAATAGACTCATAATTCCCCATCGCGACCCCTGACACAGGCTCTCAGGCATCTCAGCCTCTCAGGCATCTCCGCCTGCGGACTTTTAACTATCAAGCGCCTAGATAGCAACTTAGACTGAGACGGTTCAAAGCCTTCACCGCTCGCCATGCGGCCGCCATGGCTGGGATCGTCCCCTCCCGCCAGCGCCGGCAGCCCGTTCAGCGCGTCCAGCAACCCCGGCGGCTTGATTCTCAGCGCCGGGAGACACGGCGGGATCGGCGCCGGGTTTGGCGGCGGGCTGTTTAACTCCCTGTGGTCGTACGCGCGGCCCTGGCGGTGGTGGCTCGCGATATTAATCATCTGCGCGTTTCAAGGGCCTTATTATGGCACTGGTCGAACACCTCCGCTATAGTCTTCCCCGATCAGAAAAGCGCATCGGACGCCGCGATCGGCGGCGGGGGTAGCGGCAAAGGGGGGTCGCTGAACAGGCAGAGATTAGGCGACGCTGCCGCGGCCGCCGCCGCCGCTTCCGTGTTCAGGCGGCACCTAATCATAGGGTCGCAGCAGCAGGCGCAAGATGTCTCTAATCTCCGGTCCGGATCCTATACCTCGACCACCGCGTCGCTATCCGCGGCCGCCTTAGAAGAGCTAGTTCGCAAGGTGGCTGAGAACGTGTCGCAGCGCATCGAGTCGCACGAGGCGGTGTTAGTTAATCTGGGGATTAAGCTGCTCAACCGCGAGCAGCACCTGTCTAAGATCGACCAGGTTATAGCGGCGCTAGGGAAAATCCCCCCCGAAACCGTCCAAGCGGTGCTGCAAGCACAGCTAGACAGCAAAAAGCAGCAGGAAAGGGGAGGCGGAGGGGAAGGGGGAGCGGGAGGAGCAGGGGTAGGCGGAGGACAAGGGGGAAGCGGTCAGGCGGAAGCAGGGGGCGCGGGGGGCGGGTCAGGGGGAGGCGCGGAAGGGGAGGCGTGGGGGGAGCTTCCGGAGCCCATCCCCCCTCCGCCTAAGCCGTGCAAGCGGCAGAAGGACCTAGGGCGGTCGGGGGGGAAGGTGGTCTGGCGGGTGGAGGAGGGGGGGGAGGGCAGCCCCAGAAAGTACCTCCTGGCGATGTGCTCGGGCGGGCAGCTGAGCAACCGCATCTCGTGCCTAAGGCAGCACTTTCTGGACGCGGCGCTGCTGAATCGCACCTTGGTCTTTCCGTCGCACGGGCCTGGTGTGGACTATGACTATGAGCGGCTGCTGGATATGGAGGCGCCGAGGCGGTGCTTTGGCAACCAAACGTTTCTAACTCTGGACGAATATGCTGCAATACAAGAGGCCAAGGTGGGTGGATGTGGGAATGCGTGTTGGCTGCATGAGTGTTGCCCAGGGTGGACTATGACTAGCGGCTACTGGATATGGAGGCACCCAGGCGGTGCTTTGACAACCAAACGTTTCTAACTCTGGATGAATATGCTGCGATACAAGAGGCCAAGGTGGGTGGATGTGGGTGGGACTGTACTACAATGGTGAGCATATGAGCGTTGGCTGGCTGTCTGGGAGTTGAGCAGGAGTCCTCCGCTCCTGGACTCCTGCTCCAGGAGCGGACTATTTTTGTGGGTGCGAGCTGTGCGGGGTGGACGACGACTGTGAGCGGCTGCTGGATATGGAGGCGCCTAGGAGGTGCTTTGATTTTTGAGGCGCCTCAAAAAAGGCGCCTAGGAGGTGCTTTGACTAGAAGATTTTTGAGGCGATTTTTGAGGCGATTTTTGAGGCGATTTTTGAGGCGCCTCAGAAGAAGGGGTGTGAGAGGGCTGCTGCGCCTGTCTCTTGGGCTGCTGCGCCTGCCTCTTGGGCTGCTGCGCCTGCCTCTTGGGCTGCTGCGCCTGCCTCTTGGGCTGCTGCGCCTGCCTCTTGGGCTGCTGCGCCTGCCTCTTGGGCTGCTGCGCCTGCCTCTTGGGCTGCTGCGCCTGCCTCTTGGGCTGCTGCGCCTGCCTCTTGGGCTGCTGCGCCTGCCTCTTGGCTGCTGCACCTGTAATACCGCTACGTGTGCAGCAGCAGATAGGTCGAGACTGCTGCGCGTGCCTCGTACGCAGGACGTAGCAGATGATTTGACGGCAAAGGGTGCAATGGGATGGCTGTGGGAGTTGAAGACCAGGAAGCCAGAGTGTCGAGGCCAGAAGGTCCTTCGGGTAAGACAGTGACGTGATTTGAGGCAGTGTTTCTGGTACTGCTGCTGCTTGCTTCTGTGGTTCTGAGACTTGTTTTCCCCTCCCTGCTTGCTTCTGTATTGTATGCCAGCACCGGAGGAGTCAGGCGGAGGAGTGAGTATCTGAGTATCTGAGTATCTGAGTATCTGAGTATCTGAGTATCTGAGTATCTGAGTATCTGAGTATCTGAGTATCTGAGTATCTGAGTATCTGAGTATCTGAGTATCTGAGACTTGGAACGAGCAAGCCCTCTCCTCTCCCATTGCTGCGTGTAGCCGCACCCCCCACACGGAGGAAGCCTGCTGCACCAGTGATGGTGGTGGACGCGTTTGACTTTTGAGTCGACTCAAAAGTCATGTCGTGTAAACCCTCTCCCCTATTGTTGCCTGTGTGTGGCAGCACCCCACCTGGAGGAAGCACGCGCCAGTGATGGTGGTGGATGTGTTTGTCTCGAGGTGACTTGGAGTCAACTCGGAAGTTCAACTATTGGTCACTTGTAACATCCCCTTTCTCCCATTGTTGCCTCTATTGTTTGCAGCACCCCACGCGGAGGAAGCACGCGCCGGTGATGGTGGTGGATGTGTTTGTGTGCCACGTGCACCACTACCAGACTGAGAGGGAATGTGGGTATATCAGACAACGGTGAGTGAGACACACTTACAGACGCGCATACATGCACAGAGACACACGAGTGCATGGGCATGAGGGGGAGGGTCGTGGTCGTGGATGTGTTGTATGCCACGTGCACCACCACCAGACAGAGAGGGAGTGGGGGTACATCAGACAACGGTGAGAGATGCACACACACACACACACACACACACACACACACACACACACACACACACACACACACACACACACACACACACACACACACACACACACACACACACACACACACACACACACACACACACACACACACACACACACACACACCACACACACACACACACACACACACACACACACACACACACCACACACACACACACACACACACACACACACACACACACACACACACACACACACACACACACACACACACACACACACACCACACACACACACACACACACACACACACACACACACACACACACACACACACACACACACACACACACACACACACACACACACACACACACACACACACACACACACACACACACACACACACACACACACACACACACACACACACACACACACACACACACACACACACAAACGCACATGAGCATGGGCATAGGAGGGATGGTGGTGGGTTTTGAGTCGGCTCAAAAGTCATAACGCACATGAGCATGGGCATAGGAGGGATGGTGGTGGGTTTTGAGTCGGCTCAAAAGTCATAACGCACATGAGCATGGGCATAGGAGGGATGGTGGTGGGTGTGCTGATGCGCCACATGCACCATGGCGCTTCAGACCAAGAGTGTGGGTACATCAGGCAGCGGTGAGAGATGTGGCTGCAATGAGCCATGCGTGCCATGCGCATGGCTACAACGACTCTATGATCGCATTCAACAACACGTTAGGCGTCAGCTCCGCTTCCACCATGCACACGTGCACTCACTTACCATCTTCCCCCGCCCCTTTGATCCATCCCTCCACACATCCCCAGCTACCAGCAGCTACACATCCACTTCGCCGGCACGGTGATACCGGAAAGGCGCACCCCGAGCCCGTGGTTCAAGTACCCCAGCAAGGAATTCATCTCCCTCTTCACCTACGACGACTCCGTGATCGCATTCAGCAACATGTTTGGCGTCAGCGGGCAGGACCTGCGCTTCCACCATGCACGGCCGCCAGTGGTGCTGCCGGGGTGCAAGTACTACATCATGCCCTCGCCCATCCTCTCCTCCCCTTCCCCCCCCTGACCTGACCCCTCATCCCCTTCCAGCTACCAGCAGTTGCACATTCAATTCGCCCGCACGGTGATCCCCGAGAAGCGCACCCCGAGCCCGTGGTTCAAGTACCCCTCCAAAGAGTTCATCTCTCTCTTCAGCTACGACGACTCTGTGATCGCTTTTGGCAACATGTTCGGCGTCAGCGGGCAGGACCTCCGCTTCCACCATGCGCGGCCACTAGTGGTGCTGCCGGGGTGCAAGTACTACATCATGCCCTCGCCCATGGTGCGCCAGGCAGCTGCCGGGTTCATCAACTCCTACCTTGGCAGCACCACCGGCATTGTCAGTGCAGGTGGTGATGCGGGTGCTGGAGTTGCTGGTGGTGCTGCTGCTGCAGCTGGCAGTGGTGCCAGTGGTGGTGCTGGTGGTGGTTTCATGGCATTGCACATGCGGAGAGGCGATTTCTACCAGCATTGCGTCAACATGAAGGGGCACTCCAAGTTCGCCTGTTACCACCCTATCCGCCAGCTGGCGGCGTGCGTGGCAAGGCGCCTGGATGAGAACCCTGGAGTGCGGGCGATCTACCTCTCCACCAATGGGGATGACGATGAGGTGGCGATGTTTCGGGAGTTTCTGGCATTTGAGCGCGCACGGCCGCGGAAATATGTCATAAATGGGACGACTGAGGACGGCCGTGTGGGGAGTGTGGTTCGTGTACGCGGGGGCCGGACAGGTTTTTTCTCCTCCGTGCCTGTCCCGGTGGTTCGGATGTCGACCAAGAGCTTGGAGACGCAGCCTTGGGCCGAGTCTCTGGTGCAGGCTGGAGCACATAATGATTCGGTGGTGATTTCTTATGTGGAGAAGGCGATATGTGTCATGTCGAATGTGTTTTTTGGCACGTACGGGTCTACCTTTACAGGGGATATTGTGCGGCTACGGGATTGGCTGTTTTTAAACAGCTGTAACGATGGGATGATGTGCCCAGAAACAGACCAGGCGGAGCTTATCACGCCTTTTGAGAGCTAGGTTCAAATGATTCTCTAATCTCATTACATAATGTTTGCAAGGGGTATATAGATGAGCTGAAGTTCATATTCTTCGGGAAGTTAATAGCTGCATATTCGAAGTGTACTCCATTTTCCTATTCCGTCGCACATCAGCGAAGCATCCCACCACAAATCTTCCCTCTTTTGAATCACACTCCACAGCTTCTTCTGCCACCTTGTGAATCGACCACGAGCTTTCTGGCCTCCTAGATTCTGCCGCGTTCATTTCGTCTCGGAATCCTCTTGACCATGGCTCCTTCCCAGAAATAGTCTCCAAGCTCGGACCAGATTGTTGGACTAGTGTGATCGCGTTCCGCGCAAAACAATTCGCCGCTCGCCTGTTTGATCGTGCTCGGCCGCGTAGCGTCTTGTCTGGTGAAAACGCTTCGACCTGCATTTTAGGTCGCGATCTTTCCTGGCTGGTTACCAGCTGCCGTGCCTGCTGCCTGGTTTCGGTAGCGTTGCTCTCGTCGTCGACGAATTCGCAGCCATGGTGATTCGCATACATCGAAGTCCGTGCGATCCCCGAGCGAACTGAACGTTTGTTACAGAACACGCTCTCGTCCTTCGCCAATCGTTGCGTTGTCTAGTACCTCCTCGTCGCATCGTCTTTCACGAAGCCGAGCGAACAAAATTCGTCTCGTTACCGCTGCCCCGCGTCGTAATCGAATCCCTATTTTCCGATAGCCGATCCTTCATGTTTTGATAAGCGGAAGACACTGACCGGAATTCAACCATGGACCTAGACGGAATGATCAGCGGAGGGGGAAGGGGGGGCCGGGGGGGAGGCGGTCGGGGGGCTACGGCGGAAGAGGGGGCAGAGGCGGAGGCGGAAGGGGAAGAGGCGTGTGCAGATTCTGGCTGGAGGGTAACTGTAGAAAAGGTGACAATTGCGAATATTTACATACTGATTCCTCTGGGGGCGGGGGCGGGGGCGGGTTCGGCGGAGGTGGCGGGGGGTTCGGCGGTGGAGGGGGAAGAGGCAGAGGCGGAAACAGGGGCGGGGGAGGTGGCTGGGGAGGACAGGGATGGGGGGAGGCGGAGGAGGGGGAGGCGGGGGAGGAGACGGCGGGGGATTTGATGATCGGGGGGAAGAGGGGTTTTGGGCAGGCGGAATGCAGACACTCAGGGGGATGGCGGAAGTTTTGGCGGGGAGCGGTGGGGGAGGCAAAGAGTAGGCGGAAGAAGCGGGGAGGGCGTCAGGGCGCGATTAGGTGACGGGGGAGGCGGGGGCGGAGGCGGGGGAGGCGGCGGGGAGAGGCGCATTCCGCGGCGGAAAGCTTGCAAGTTCTGGCTGGGGGGGAGCTGTAACCGCCACAACTGCAACTTCCTACATGCTCACACGACTGCTGCTGACGTGGAGATGATGACTGAGCTGACGGGGCACGAGAAGGTGCGAGAGAGCGATCCATTCTCCACTGGTCGTCATGTCTTTTCCTGAGGTATCCTATGCAGTAGCAATACTTCTGAGGCCTAAAAAAATCCATGCGTGAGGAGTCTATTTTTGAGGCGCCTCAAAAATAGACTCCTTTGCAGTAGCAATACCCGCTTCAAAGGGTCGTCCTCCACGGTTTTTACAAGCACTCCACGAGTTTACATTTACAGGTGTCATCACACAGTTGCTGCCACGTATTGACACAATGGCACCTATTTGGTGTTCTATTGGACTCGTTTCCACAGGTGCCCCTTGCACTAGCAATCCCCGCTTCAAAGGGTCGTCCTCTCGGAATCCACTCCGTGCAGTAGTTGTACCAGAGCGCATTTCACAGCTGCCCAAACGCATGTAGGAAAGGACATTTTCATGCTCCTTTGTTCTCTTCTCTGGTTTCTCCTTCACTCCCTCCTCTTGCTCACCTCCCCAGGTGGTGCGGACCAAAGGGCTCCTCTCAGCGCTGCACAGGCTGTCAAGGCAGCCAGCCAGCCATTTGCGGACCGTCTAGTCCCTGCTATTCGTGTGTAATGAGTCGATTTTTGAGTCGACTAAAAAGTCGACTCATTACACACGCATTTGCGGACCGTCTAGTCCCTGCTATTCGCCTTTCTTCCGTCGCCTGCCCTCTCTTCTCGTCTGCCATCTCCCTGCTATTCACCAGGTGGTGCGCGCCATAGCACTTCCCGAGAGCTCCTCGCAGCTGTACACGGGCAGTCAGGACGGCACTATCAGAGTGTGGGACTGCACCACGGGGCAGGTGGGGCTCTCTGTGCCTATGTAGCACGTGCTTTGTATGCTGTGCCTATATAGGGCGTGCCTTTATGCGTGCTCCGTGCCAGAGCTCCTCTCAGCTGTACACGGGCAGCCAGGACGGCACTACCAGAGTGTGGGACTGCACCACGGGGCAGGTACTTACTTTTACGGCTATCACACGTTTTGAGGCGTCTCAAACCTTTATCAAGTGTGCCTTTACTGAGAGCGCATTTACTGTTCCGCTGGACTGTGCCCCTTCAAATCTATTCTTACATTGTGCTCCTCACCCTCACTCTGATGTACTTTACATTCCCTCCGCCTTTTCTCCGATCCTCCGCCCCCCCTCACTCCCCAGCGTGTGTGTGGGTGTGGCCACTGTGAAAGGGTCTTTTGAGTCGACTCAAAAGTCACCTCCCCCTTTTCTCCCACCATCCGTCCCCCCTCACGCCTCAGTGCGTGTGTGGGTGTGGCCACTGTGGGAGAAGTCCTGGCCGCACTGGTTGTCGCACCTCTACAAACCGCTCTATCTTCTTGGGAGGGGACGTGGGAATGCGTATCACCAACTCTGGATGGCTCACTCTTTCCACACCACTGCACCGCTCTGTGTCTGTTCCTACCTCCTTCACGTCCCTCAACCCCCCCTCTCACCCTCCAGTGTGTGAGCGTTGCCGCCATGGGAGGGGATGTGGGAGCGCTGATCACCAACTCTGGATGGCTCTTTGTCGGCCTGCCCAACCTTGTCAAGGTATGCATGCAGCATGCTGTGCCATGCTTTTTCTTTTCTTTTGTACCATGCCATGCCATGCCATGCCATGTCGTGTCCTGCTAGTCTGTTCCAGGTTTGTTGGCAAGTGAATTAAAGAGCAGCTGGCTGTTTCTGAGTCAACTAAATGGGCCCTCCTAAACCCCAACCCCTGAACCCTTAACTGCTGCAGACGTGGGTGCTGGCGAGTGGAGTGCAGAGCGACTTGCCAGGGCCAACAGGATCCGTGCACCAGCTCCTGCTGCACAACGGCATGCTGTTTGCGGCCTGCAGTGTGAGTGGGGCATGACATCAGGTGGGTGGCATGGCATGGCATGGGGTATGGGCTGAACAGCATCCGTGCACATGCTGCTGCTGCACAATGGGATGCTCTTTGCGGCCTGCAGTGTAAGGGGTGGGAAGGGATGGGATGGGGTGGGAGGGGATAACATGGTAACGGATGGGATGGGATATGGGGTCAACAGGGTCGGTGCACCAGCTGCTGCTGCACAGTGGGATGCTGTTTGCTGCATGCAGCGTTAGGGATGGGATGGGACGGCAAGGCAACGGATGACATGAGGTGGCATGGTGTGGGATATGGGGCTGCACAATGGCATGCTGTTTGCGGCCTGCAGTGTAGGATGGGATGGGATGGGATGAGATGGGATGGGATGGGATTGATAAGAACGGAATGTGGATTGCACGGGTTGTCCATGTACTTTCTGCCACGTACTCTCATCTTATACCCCCAAACTCTCATCTTATACCCCCAAACTCTGATCTTATACCCCCAAAATCTGATCTTATACCCCCAAAATCTGATCTTATACCCCCAAAACCTGATCTTATACCCCCAAAATCTGATCTTATACCCCCAAAATCTGATCTTATACCCCCAAAATCTGATCTTATACCCCCAAAATCTGATCTTATACCCCCAAAATCTGATCTTATACCCCCAAAATCTGATCTTATACCCCCAAAATCTGATCTTATACCCCCAAAATCTGATCTTATACCCCCAAAATCTGATCTTATACCCCCAAAATCTGATCTTATACCCCCAAAACTGATCTTATACCCCCAAAATCTGATCTTGTACCCCCAAAATCTGATCTTATACCCCCAAACTCTGATCTTATACCCCCAAACTCTGATCTTATACCCCCAAACTCTGATCTTATACCCCCAAAATCTGATCTTATACCCCCAAAATCTGATCTTATACCCCCAAAATCTGATCTTGTACCCCCAAAATCTGATCTTATACCCCCAAAATCTGATCTTATACCCCCGAAATCTGATCTTATACCCCCAAAATCTGATCTTATACCCCCAAAATCTGATCGTATACCCCCAAAACTGATCTTATACCCCCAAAATCTGATCTTATACCCCCAAAATCTGATCTTATACCCCCAAAATCTGATCTTATACCCCAAAATCTGATCTTGTACCCCCAAAATCTGATCTTATACCCCCAAACTCTGATCTTATACCCCCAAACTCTGATCTTATACCCCCAAAATCTGATCTTATACCCCCAAAATCTGATCTTATACCCCCAATATCTGATCTTATACCCCCAAAATCTGATCTTATACCCCCAAAATCTGATCTTATACCCCCAATATCTGATCTTATACCCCCAAAATCTGATCTTATACCCCAAAATCTGATCTTATACCCCCAATTTTTCCCCCTTGTACTTACCCTGGTTCTGTCTACCTCAAACCCAACCCCTCCCCCCTCCTCCCCCCCCCCCCATCCTTTTACATCCCCCCTCCCTCCCTTCCCCCTTTCCCCTCCCTCCCGTCCCCTTTCCCCTCACGTGCGTCAGGACGGCAAGATTCTGTGCTGGAAGTTCAACCCGGCCTCGCAGCAGTTTGAGCCCGTGGCGTCGCTGACAGGTCACACGGCTGCTGTGGTGTGCCTTGAGGCCACGGCCACGCACCTCTTCTCAGGATCCATGGATAAGAGCATCAGAGTGAGTGTGCTATTGCTATAGATAATGAGGGATACACTAACTGGGCGCACGTCTGCTGTTGTGTGCTTGGAAGCCACGGCTGCTGTTGTGTGCTTGGAAGCCACGGCTGCTGTTGTGTGCTTGGAAGCCATGGCCACGCACCTGTTCTTAGGGTCCATGGACAAGAGCATCAGAGTGAGTGGTGGTAGTACTAGCGAGACATACACTAATGGGTCTGGTTCTTCTCTCTACCGGGTCACGCCATGACCATGGCATGGGGTGATGCGTCTGGTAGCATGGCACCCACAGTCTCCCTTTTTCCTTGGCACTTCTCCTCCTTCCCTCCCCTTCGTTGTTGCACAACAGATATGGGAATGGGACCTGAGCACGGGAGCATGTGTGCACACAGTGCCTGCTCATAACCATAGTGACGCATACGACAAATCCCCCCTCTCCTCCCCTCCTCTACCGCACACCAGATATGGGAGCTGAGCACAGGTGCGTGTGTGCACAGCACACGGTGCCGACTCTGACCAGGGGTTGATGTCGCTGGCTGCTTGGCGCCCACAGTTTTCCGTTTTCCCTCTGCACTTCCCCCCCTCCCCTTCCTTGTTGCGCACCAGATATGGGACCTGAGCACGGGAGCATGTGTGCACACGGTGCTTGCTCACGACCACGTGGTGATGGCGCTGGTGGCATGGCACACTCATCTCCTCTCCTGCTCGCTTGACGGCACAGTTAAGGTAAGCTGGGGGGGAATGGGCGGGGAAAGGGAGGGGGGGGTAAGCAGGGGGGTACGGGGGGGGGGGGGATTATGACACACGGACCATGTGGTGATGTTGCTGGTTGTATGGCGCAAACACATCTCCCCTCCTGCTAGCTTAATCGGACAATTAAGGTGAAGTCTGAAGACAGGTCGGGGTTTAAGAGGTGCCACCATCTTGCATTGTCTCGCACTGACAGCCGTGGCCACCTTGAATCAACAGCGGCGAGATTACAACGGTTCATGCCATGTCGATTCAGGAAGACAGGCAGGCAGCGCCCTTCTGCTCTCTTCTTTCTTCTGATTCAAGCAGGCGTGGCTGGCACAGTGGCAGGCACCCATGAGCAGCAATGACAGGCAGTGAGAACAGGTGCATTTTCTCTTCTTTTCTGCATGTTTGCGTTCGTTCCTTTAGCCCCAACAGGTGTGGGCGCCATCAGCAGCGGCAGGGGGCGCTATAGACCTCGCATTTACCCACACCAACAGTGACGCCGTCATGCCATCAGGTGTGGGCGCCATCAGGCGTGGGCGCCATCAGGTGTGGGCGCCATCAGGTGTGGGCGCCGTCATGCCACAACTGTAGAACGCAAATACACCCCTTCTGTCTCTTCTCCCTTCCCTTCTCAACAGGTGTGGGCGCCATCAGCCGCGGGAGGGGGCGCTATCGACCTCGCTTTCACTCACACAGATGCGGACGACAAAGGGGGGAGCGGCCAGAGCGACAGAGAACCTGATGTACGTTGGTCCTCGTCACTCGACCTTATTTTGTTGATAACCTTTTTTTGTTGATAACCTCATTTTGTTGATGTCTGTTGGTGCACTGCCTTTGTCCCTTTGTTTTCTGTTATTTTTGTGTTAATCTAGTGTAGTCACCGCCTTGGAGTATTGAGACGTCTCAAAACTAGTGACCGCCTTTGTTTTCTCCACCCTTACCCCTCAACTTTTTGCTGCTGCTGATGAGAGTATTCGTTTAGATAGTCGTGGTAAATGTCGTGTAATCCTTGCGTTGCGTTCTCTTCTGTTGTCTCTGTGCATGCATTATTAGCATGCATTATTAGATGCATATCAACTTCTCTTCTCCATGCACCCAACAGGGTGCCTTGGCCATGCGAGTGAGCACGGATCTAGCCGGCAACCAGGTGCTCATGGTGTCATACAAAATATTTTTGAGTCGGCTCAAAAATCACCTCATGGTGTCATACAAAATATTTCTCCCCCCCCTCTCCCCCTTTCCTCCCTCCTGCCCTTCCCTTCCTCCTCCCTATTCTCCAGGGAGCCCTGGCCATGCGGGTGAGCACGGACCTAGCGGGCAATCAGGTGCTCATGGTGGCGTACAGTGACAACTCTGTGCGACTCTACGACCTTCCATCGTACGTTTCGGGTAATTAGGTGATGCGAGTGCATGCAGTTAATGGGGCTGCACGCCCTCCCACCGTAAGGTTGACTGTAGTGGGGCGAAACGGGTGCTCATGGCGGCGTACAGTGACAACTCCCTGCGGCTCTACGACCTCCCCTCGTACGTTCGAGTAATATGGCAATGCGAGTGCATGCAGTCTGTGAGATCTGTGAGGTCTGTGAGATCTATGAGATCGACCTCCTGTCGTAAGTTCTCGTGGTAATGATACTGGTAATGCTTATATTTCATATGGTATGCTGAAAAAAAAAAAACCATCCTATCCGTTACGTTGCTGAACAGTTTCTTCTCTTGCCATGTCATACCCCTTCTCTCCCGTGCCATGTCACCACCAACCAGGTTCACGGAGCGAGGGGCACTGTTCACCGTGCAGGAAGTGCGGTCGCTGTGTGTGGGGCCGAGCGGGCTCATGTTTACTGGAGACAGTGCAGGGACCGTCAAGGTGTGGCGATGGACGCAGTGAGAGCTTTAAGGGGAGGAAGGGATGGGTAAAGAGTACAGGGGGCGTTGAGGTGCGGCTGCTGTGTGTGTGGGGGCCTGAGTGGGCCCATGTTGACCAGAGGCAGCACAGGGAAGGTCAAGGTGTGGTGGTGGACACAGTGAAGGAGGTTCATCAGTTGCTGGGGGGGGAGGGAGGGGGGAAGAAACTATCAAGGTGCGGTCGCTGCGCGTGGGGTCCAGTGGGCTCATGTTTACTGGGGCAGCGGAGGGATGGTCAAGGCGTGGTGCTGGATGCAGTGACAGGCAGGAGAGTTTCAAGATATTTCACTCGGTGCAGTGCGGCCCAAAAGCAGCAATGATGCAGTTGTTGTTACCGTGAGGGGACCAGCCAAGGCTCATGTAGGGCAACGTGTTTATTGTAGGCTCGGAATGGAAGCATTGGTAGCGTTTGACTTGTTTAGGGTTTGGACTACGGATGTAGCAAGTCTCATAAGCCTGTTTAGGGTGCTATTAGATAGAGGCAAGGCAGATCCAAACTGCTTGAATCAATGGCAGCCTAGGATGGATAAGGGGGATCTAGGAGAGCTCAGGGGAATAGTGGAGGTAAGAAAGTGTGCATCCAACTTATGGGGCTTGGGGATTAGATGACATGCCATTACAAAACATGTAGGTACTTGTAATAAAAAATTTACAGATTGTTATTCGACTAGAAGAGGAGTTTGCTGTAAAGGAGACAAACTCCATCTATCGGCAGGTCTTTCAGACCTGCCACCTAGTCTCATTTGCATATTTCTGTTCCAACTTGTATACCACAAGCACACTCTAAACCTCTCTTACGGTATGATATGGGCATAGGAGTCTCTTGCTGCAAGACGTTCTTTCTGTTAGATATTCTACAATGGTCAGCGGACTTATTTCCGCTGCAAGTGGTAGGCCTTCCGCTCCTTGCGTGAATACTAGGAGTGGTGGAAGGTGTGGGTCCCCTGTACGTGAGGGGGACTGGAACTCTTCCTCTCAGCATAGAGAACGATCTCGTTCTCCTCGTCCTGGCGGAGGTAACGGTGCCATTACCGCTATGGATTTGCTGAGTGGCGCGCGTCAAAACCCTGTTCAGCATGTCGAAAACGCGGCGGGGGACGCGGATCGTAATACGTCACGCAATCGCGATCCCCCCCCCCCTGGATTTCAAGGCGAGCGGCGTAACGAGCAGAACCGTGTCGACACGAACCTGCCTGCCGAGAACGCCCCGTCACACCCCCCACCTACCCGAACGCAATCATGACGGTCCTGCGCGCGAAGACCACAATCATGATCGTGATCCTACGCGCGCAGGGCGTCATCATGAGCGCGATCTCAACGCCCCAGCGCCCCAGATTCGCCAGGATCGCTAGGATCGGGACTGGGATCGCCGCACGGATTTTCCTCATGCCGCAGTGAATCCGCGCGGAAATCCGCGGATCTCGACCCCTGGAGCAATAGAATTCGCCGAAATGATTGCGCGACTTGATCCTGCCTGCAGCCCAGCGCATTCTCCAGCGAGTCTTCACAAAAGCTGCTGCTGGCGAACGCGTTACAGCGCGCTCCACTGCATCCACAGCTCCTCATTCTGGATAACATAATTCTGCTCGCTACACCGACGACAATGTTAACGCCGGCACCAACAACGAGGCCATTCACCATGTTCTTGGTCTTCTCGCGGCGCTCCAGCGTGGCAATGGCGCTGATCCCGCACCGCCACCGGAAACAGCACGCGTCGCAGCAGCGGCGGCCCCACGCTCTCACCTCCCGGCGCCCGCCCCCAACAAGGCGACGAAATGGACGAGGAAGCACCCCATGCCACACTTGACGAAGAGCTCGGAACCATTTCGGCCTATGCCGATGACGCAACCAAGATTACCCGCATGCAAGGCCGCCTCCGTGACCGCGCTGCATGGTGGTCCGCCTGGTGCGACAGCCGCTTGATTCTATCGGTGATTACATCTGGCTATCGCCTACCATGGGTTGCCCCTGAGCCCCCTCCGTCTCGTACTAAGAATCATGCCGGTGCCTTGCAATTCACCTCTTTTGCAGTAGGTGCAGTGGCCGAGCTTCTCGCCACCGGCGCAGCTCGGGTCGTACCGTATTCCGCAACCCTTACATACAGTACGTTAGCCCGTTAAACATGATTGTCCAACCCTCTAAAAAGAGGCTGATATTGGACTTCGGCATGTCAACTCATTCCTCTTGGTACCTCGTTTTTCGATACGAAGGACTTACTCGCGTTCCTGATTTGGTGCAAGAAGGCGATTGGCTATTCACGATCGATCTCAAATCCGGATACCACCACGTCGACATTCACCCTGCATTTTGGCGGTTTCTCGGATTCTCTCTGCAAGGGCAGGACTACCAATTCCTCTCCTTGCCTTTCGGGCTAGCTACAGCGCCATTTGTGTTTACCCAGTTAATTAAGCAACTCTCCAAATGATAGCGTAGCAGTGGCATCCGCCTTATTCCATACGTCAATGATATCCTATTCATCAGTGCCACTCAAACGGAGGCACTTCACAACCGCTCCATAATCATCGCCGACCTCGCAGCCGCGGGCTTTGTTGTGAATTTCACAAAATCACAACTCGCGCTGGCACAATCTTTGAAGTTCTTGGGCCTCTTGCTGGAAACGTGCACCACCACATTCTCTGTCGATGCGGATCGGCGCAACCGTCTTTTTGCCGAGCTGGATGAATTATGCACACTCGGCGCTAACTGGCGTCGCATCCCTGTTCGCCGCACTGCCCGCATCACCGGCATGTTGGCCTCCATGTCCTTGGCACCTGGCACCGTCTTGCGCGCCTTCTCCCACCACCTTCTCGCGCAGATCGCCGAATGCCACTCATGGGGGGCGACCATTCTCCTAACCCCTGAGTCTGTTGAAGAGCTGCGTTTTTGGCTTACACAGTTCGACGTTTTCAACGGCGCCTGCTTCCACAACCAGCATTTGTACGACGTTGTCATGTACGTGGATGCTAGCGACCATGCCTGGGGGGCTTGTTATTCGGCGCCGGATGGTCGTGTCGGCTCGCTCTCCTCCCCGCTATCTCTAGCCCTCTTGGGCTCGTCCAGTACCCTTCGCAAGCTGGCCGGAATCTTTTGGTCCCTTTCGGCCTTTTCTGTCGAAATCCGGCGTTCGCACATCTTGCTCCGCAGCGACAGTCAGGCGGCCTACTACATCCTCCAGAAGGGAGGCTCTCGTCGTCCCGAGCTTACCTTCGTATGCCGCACGATTATTCAATTGTGCGTGCGCCATATGATCCGCCTTACGGTCCAATGGATTCCCCGCGAGCTGAATACCGAGGCCAATGCTCTGTCCAAGATTGAACTCCACGAGGACTACTCCTTAACACAACCTTGGTTCCTGCTGCTTGAGAGGCATTGGGGACCTCATACAATCGACTTGTTCGCATCCCCTGCCAATGCGCAGCTCGCTCGTTTCTGCTCCCTCGAGTTCTCACACTCTGCGGTTGCGCAAGACGCCTTTTCTATAAACTGGGGACACGAGAATTGCTTCGCCTTTCCTCCGCCCGCCCTCATCCCGGCTGCCCTTGCTCATGCCCATCGCTCGCGCACTTCTCTCACTCTCATGATCCCATATTGGCCCAGTACTTTTTGGTGGCCTTTGCTAAGCCTGGACGGCTTCACTTGGGGCCCGGAGGTCGTTATGGCCCTTCGCCTTACCCTTGGTGCTAGTTGTTTACACGTTGGCAGTGACCGTTATGCCTTTAGCGGTGTCAGTCTTCCGAACTCTCCGATGTATGCGCTTCATTTTGCATTCAACTAATGTATAATTGTATTTTATTGCGTAGGCTCATATATTGTTCGATTATTGTTGGACCTTCTCACACTCACCGTCGATCTTCGGGCAAAGTCTACCCTTCGCACTTACGAACCCTATTGGTGACAGTTTCGAGCCTTCTGTTTGGCGCACTCACTTCCCTTCCTTCCCGCCACCGACCTGACAGCGGCCCTCTTTCTGCTGGACTCAGTCCGTCGCGGAGCTACCGTCTCAGCTGTGCGCACTGCGTGTTCCGCTATATCCTGCGCCTATTGGCTGGTCGGCCACCCCTCCCCGATTCGCGGCCCCTTTTCTTCGCAAGTCAAGGATTATGCCATGCGACATTGTGGCAAGCCATCTCAAGCCAAGGAGCCCATTTGTCCAGCCAAGATTTACGATATCTGTGACATCTACTTCTTATCGCATGATCCGGCCACTTTCTAGCGGGGCTTTATTCCCCTCCTCGTGTTCGCAACCTTCCTTTGTTTCTCTGATCTCATCTCCCTCCAGTGGCACCAGATCGAGTTTGATCGGGACTGCATGTGGTTGTTCATCACCCGTTCGAAGACCGACCAAGCTGGCACCGATGTTTGGGTCCCAGTGGCTGCTTCTTCTCCCCGCCACTGTCCGGTGTCGCGTGTCCAACAATTCCTCTTCCTGGCTGACTATTCTCCGCGGACCCTTGGCCCCCTTATTCGTATATTTCAGCCGGGTGCTCGAGCTTCCCCCTCAGATCGCCCTCCCTCGTACGCCGCCATTCGAGGTTGGTGTCGTGATGCTTTCTCCCGTGACGGCCTCAACCCGGCCCTCCTAGGCACGCATTCTTTCTGCAAGGCGGCTGCGACGGTCGCCGTTGATGTTGGAGTCCCCGACCAGCTTTTCAAGGCCCTCGGCCGCTGGCGAAGTGATACATCCAAGGAGCTTTATATTACTCTGTTTGACCGCAAGCTAGTGGCCGCTTCTTGCACGCTACAAGATCCTACTCGCTCGAGTGCAACCGATCGGTACCAGGCCACCCTCGAGCACCACCGCCGACGACCCCCCACTTGATGTCTTGTTTGACCTATGACGACTGCACTGCACACTCCTCTAAGGTCGTGTCACAATATGAGTTTTTTTTTGTAATAAAAAATTTACAGATTGTGATTCGACTAGAAGAGGAGTTTGCTGTAAAGGAGACAAACTCCTTCATCTATCGGCACGTCTTTCAGACCTGCCACCTAGTCTCATTTGCATTTTTTCTGTTCCAACTTGCCCACCCTTCCCTCCCTCGCTTCGATGACTAGCATGGCCTGCTCACCTTTGTTCCCTTGCCATGTATCTGCCCTGTCTAGTGTGCTGTATTATGGATCTATAAAATGCTATGACGACTGCACTGCATACTCCTCTGAGGTCGTGTCACAATTTTATTCCTTATCGGATTGTACTGCAATCGTGTACACCCGAACTCTCGGAAGGCTAGGCTCGGTCCGTTTCCGACGCGACCGCGAGGCTGGCTTGCGCCGCCTCCGGCCCTTTCAACTGCGCCTGTACCCAACCTAGCCCTCCGGGCTCGTCGCCTAGCTAGAGTTCTCGCTAGATAACGCTAGGCTCCCATTCTTGTACTCGTCATTATTATTCCGCGCACTCTCAGTTATTATTCATAACATCTGGTATCAGAGCTACTTTCTTGGTTCACCTCGCTTTCTCAGGGTAGTTAATTCCCAAGGTGTGGTTAACCCTGCGGGGCTGCAAATCGGTTGTCCGTGAGCTAGAGTAACTAGCTCTCACAACTACGATAGCGTTTGCGCCCCCTGCGGTTTCTTACCACAGCCTTTCCCCTGCCCGAAAGGCATAGCATTCGCATCGTGACTCTGGCCCAGCTAGACGAGGT